TAAAAGCTTCTGTTAAGATTAACTTATTTGAGAACTAGATATGTTGCTCCTAAGACGTGAAGATTAGATTTTAAAACTATTTTGATATCTTAAAGTACAAAAGAAATAGCTTAGGTAAGACTATAATTGTTTCACGGAGAGCATTGATATTGAAAAGATTATCTCTATATATCAAAGTAAGATAACTTAAATAGCTTACAAGGGAAAAGTGTTTGCCAAAATTTCGACTTATTTGAAAATTAGATTTCATATTTTTGCATGCAAGCATTTAGTTAATTCATTTCACCGGTATATAAATTTGATATATTTTTCAAATTCATTTCACCTATTTATGTAAATAGTTTAAATTATATATGTTAGTGTTTGATTACGCAAGGATTAATTATTATTATTTTGAAAATGACATATTTTTTAAGATTAAACATCTTCATCAACAACTATAGTTGACTATTAATATGGATCATTTTAATATATTATAAATCCTTCAGCTGCTTTTAGCTAATTCAAAATCTTATTTGGGCAGTTTCGTTTTATATTAAATAAAAAGATTAAAGTGTAATTTTGTCATTATTATATAGTATTTTTTTGGTTAATAAGGTTTAAACTTGGCTTACACTGAATCTACTAATGTCATTCTTTTTTTCACTTTTCTTTTAATTTTTGTTACAAATTAAAGGTCTGTCAGTGATGGATATTATTTAGAATCTATGTACCTGTATTTTGTTTTTTTCTGCAGGTAGGACAAAAATATTGAAACTGACAGATTATGTCATATACAGTAATAGTACTAGTTTGTATTCAATACAAAAGAAATTTAAAGTTGTAATCTAAAATTAAAATATACCTAAAATTTGGATCCACCATTTACAACTTGTTTGGATGGTTGTTACCTATTTTGTTGTTAATTTAAATATATTATTTACATAAATTTATTGTAATATCATTAAATCATTGCTATATAACGATGAAAAGTTTCATTTTTATGTAGCGATCCATTTAGTATGATTGTGTTGTCATATTTAGTATTATTTTCTCATTTTGTCTTTACTTATTATCTAATAATTCTATGTTATCCTTTACCTTACCCCTTTTATAGTAGTTCGACTCTGAATCCTATTTTTCTTGTAAAATTATCCTTCAAATTATGTGACAACAAAAAATGATACAACATATTCAAACGTTATATTCATCAAAACAATATAATATGATACAATACAAACAATAAAATATACCAATATGTAACGACCATCCATTAAGCAAATAACTAATTGTTTAGAGTTAATTGCTTTGAGATTTACTATACAATACATGGTGATTAATGAAATGGTTAGTTACTAATAAATTTTATATAAATTCAACCAAGTACATAAACTTCGTGAAATTATTGAAATAAAAAGAATTTTTTTTTTGATAATCTCTTTTGCCTCTATTAGATTAGGTTTAAAACTTGATTTAAACTTAACATAAATCAAGCTATAATTTCCCTTTAAAAAAGCTCCTTTTTTCATAATTCTTTGTAAGAACATTTCATTGTCGTCCTCGTCATTAAATAACAAGGGAAAAATTAATTATAAGATACAATTTTGTTTGTTTATTAATCCATATGCCCGTATTTTGCTTGTTTTAGATGGTAGGGCAAAAACTTTGAAGTTGAAAGCTATTATTACTCTTTTCATTTTATTTTATTTGATTGAACACTTCGTTTTAAGAAATATATATTTTTAGCACAATAATTAAAATTAAATTACTTCAGATATTTTTTAACAAGTAAAAAAGAGTGTAATAAAATAAAATAAGAAACATACCATGTTAATAAGAAACAAATATTTTTGTCTTTCACAAAAAAATATAACTGAAATTAGCTACGGAACTTCATTGCTAATTTATTACTGAATCACTCGTAGCTAATAATTTATCGCTAAACATGATTAGCGACAGATTTTTTTTTTAGGTAAACTAATTTGTCCATAGCTAATTTCTATTTTTTAGAATTGTTTATTTACTGTTTAATTGGTTCTTTTAAAAAAAAATAAAGTACTTCTCTCATTTTTAGAAGAGTTTATTTACAATTTAATTGGTTCTTTTAAAAAATAAACAATTTAAGTACTTATCTTTAGACTCCATAATAAATAAGATAAATAAGTACTTTATTAGGATTTGGTAAGGTAAGACTTAGCCCTCCTTCCTTGTACTTATCCGTGAGTTTTTATTTTTTATTTTAAATAAAATGCCACAAGACACTGTTTAGTGGTATAAATTTGCGGAAAAAAAAGAAAGAAAAAGGAATCAACTATTCCCTAATAGCATATGGTTAGAGTTAGAATTATTACCTTTTCACCAATGTGTTATTTTGGAAAAAATAATTATATCTAAATTTGAGACCATCATTCAAGATCTATATAGATGCCAATTTAAATTATTGAGGTTAATAAAATACAACTACAGATGCCATTATTGAAAATGATGCAATTTACGATTTGGGCCACATATAATCATAGTATATAAGAAATATATATTTCTTAACATCATATATCTAATTTTTCCATTTAATTTGTATTTAGTTTTTGCATAACTTTATTTTGTAGCTTTACTTGTAAGGATTTAAAGTTCTCCATGCCAATGAATACTTATTTGATGATAGTGCTAGTTGTTCCAACAGAAAATAACAAAAGATTAAGTTATATAAAAAAGAATAATCGATCTACTCGTCTTTATTAGAGAACGTTTTATCCTATCAATATAGGATTTTCTGGCATGAATTCAAATTTAATCGGATCATAATATGAATATCGAACCACAAGCAAAAATCAATACTCCTCTCAACGGCTATAGATATACATGGTATATCATTATATTGTTTGTTATTCATATGAATGGAAAAGTTGATAGTTGAATTTGAACTACTACAATTCATACTTCTGACCGTTAAGTAAAGTTATGACCTACCATAGGTTAAAGACAATTTATTTTATGTAAAGGTAAAGATACTCATCACTTTATAACGTACCTTTGTATTCGAATAGGATCCCTCCAAAATTTTACCAATGTAGAATGTAATAAATATGCACTTCTTTTTTCTTGTAGAACATTCAAAATTCAAATCATTTAATTTTTTTTTCTACAAAAATACTTGGTAAAACATTTGGCATAGATATATGTTTTTGTTGGAAAACTAACATTTGCGTTCACACTCAATAGCAAGTGTAATTATTCCATCCAAGTGAAGATTTAGATAAAAATAGTTTATTATTAGTACTTTTTATTAGACTTAAATGTGACTAAACATCAAATTGAATCTAGAATGAATTTTAAGTCAATAGCATTAAAGATTTGACATTATGTAACTTGGACCACATAGGTCAATTTGGGCTTTGTCCATTTAGAACTCTTAACAAGATAAGAGGCCCAACTGAAATCTATTGCAAGTCTAGCTAATCCTCAAGTGAAAGATTCTCTCTCATGACTTGCACAATTTCATTTATCCATGTATAGCTTGTATGTCATGCATATGTCAATGTATATAATTGACATACATATGATGTGGAGTCGTATACATTGATATACACGAAAGATACACACAATATATACTAATATACATAATTGTATGTTGTTGTATGTATACACATGTGATGTATATGTCACTATATGTATAGTGCAATATATAAGACATATATGTATTTGCAGCACAAGTTGCATAGTCCGTCCTACAACCATAAGCTTGGAATGTTATATTAACTAGAAAATACATTATAGTCGGTACTCAGTACTATATATCCTTAATACTCCCTCCGTTTCATATTAAACTAATTTTTGAGGCATTTCTCATTTTTTAAATTAACTTAATTGTTCAGTTTTCAAGACTACTTTTAGAGTGTTCTTCCAATTTTATCCTTCATTCGTTAGTATTGGAATTAATGATTAATTAATATTTAGTTATTTTAATCATAAATTTGACAATAATTAATAAGGGTAAAAATAGAAAACTAGGTTCAATTTAAGTTTTAATCTACTTTTCTTAAATGGTGTGAAACACCTTAAAAATTAACTTAATATGGAATGGAGGGAGTACACTCTTTCAAACGAATCCCAAAGTACTCCTTCTGTCCCTATTTAATTGTCTATTTTTCTTTTTTTAGTTGTCCCTAATTACTTATTTATTTTGACAAATCAAGAAATGACAACAAAAATTTCTCTATTATACCCTCAATTTATTACTTTGAAAAATGTAAAACTTTTTGAAAAACTTAAGTTTTTAATTCATCCACTTCATAATTTATAGGGGTAAAATGGTAAATTTACTATATCAATTTTTTTTTTTAATAGGTCTGCCACCTCAAAAGTGATGGACAAGTAATTACGTACGGAGGGAGTAATATATAGTCAAATTACTGTTTCCTGCTTTCATCCATCTTTGTCAGATCATTTATTGGAATTTATGAGATTATTTAATTTCCAACCATGTAAGTAAGCACTTGGCTATCTTTAATACTAGTCAAAGTAGAAAAGTAGACAAACTTGATTAATGGCATAATACCCTTTAAATGTACACAAACAAGAACTTAAAAACTTGTTTAAAGTTGAACAATTATACACAACGTCTTATATCTTATAATACAGGTAGAACGTCACATAGAATGTGCATAATGTGTTAATTGCCATGCAGGACGTCGAAGTAGAATGTGTGTGCCTACTTGTTAAACTCTATACAAGATCATGTGTCTACTTGTGTACACACAAAATTAGAGGACATAAATATCAAATAAGGCCAAATGAAAAAACATATTTGTATTACACATTCATTAATAAAGGCTTACCAATAGATATGCAATATTTGATAGTTTAAATATATATATAGTTCTATATAGTAACAATGAATGCAATTTAATCTTGAGAACAATAAGATACTTAGTGATATATCATTCGTTACAAAAGTGACACATATGCTTATAAATTTATTCCGTTACATAATTCGAGACTTCATAAGATGAATGAGGACGTGTTTATGTTTTAGAAGCATGAGCTTGTATAAAAGCAAGCAAATCATTTCTTAGAGGCATATATTCCTTGACTTGACTGCAATTAACATACCCATCTCTCCAAGCACAAAAATTTGGAAAATTTTCACTTGTTACTAATTCAACTCCAGAGGCTTCTTGAAAAACTCCTAGCCAATATCCCACAAAATTTGCAGCAATATCAGCATAACCAAATTTGTCACCCACAAAGAACTTTTTATCCTTTAACTCATTATCAAGAATTTTCAACATCTCACAAACTTCCTCTTTACCTTTCTCTTGCTCCACTCCTTTGTGGAGAAAAGTATTCACCACTGCTCCCATCTACAACAATCATGATAAATACTACGTGTCAATTTCAAGCAAGTCAGAATCGACCATATATATATTATTCAAGTAAATATATTATAACATGCATGACAAAATTATGCAAATAAGTGTGTATATATAGCATGAAGACGAAGTTACCTTATCATCAAGGAACTTATCCCAAAAACGAGCTAAAGCTCGATCATAAGGGTCTTTAGGTAAGATGGAAGGGCCTTCAAATGTCTCATCAATGTATTCAACAATCACACTTGACTCACAAATGGGCTTGCCATTGTGAATGAGAACAGGAATTTTTTTGTGAACAGGATTGAATTCAAGAAGTAGAGGGCTCTTGTTTTGTAGATTTTCTCCTATAAATTCATACTTCACTCCCTTTAATTTGAGAGCCCACTCAACTTTGTGACTAGCAGGGCTATACCATAGACCAAGCAACTTTACATCTACCATCGCTCAACTTTCCTAATTGAGGGAATTTTATGTGGTTGTTCTCTCTTGAAGTCTAATCTTCTTTTATAGATGAAGTTTCTTAGTAATACACCAAATACATTAATGTTTCTTGTTTGACTATTTTGTTTTGTAATTTAAAATGGAAAAATCCTTTTGGCCAGATAATTTGGCCAGAATGGTAAACTAACATATTTCACACTATTTTATTTTATTTTTTTGAACATTTTTACCCTTTTAACTTTAATATATTTTAATTTAAAAAAGAAAAAAAGATCAATTTATTTTAAAATAAAAAGGATAGTATAGACTTTTTAATTTTCTGACCATTTAGCATAACCCATTTAAAATAATGAAAAATCTTTTGGCCAGAAAATTTTGGCCATAATTTGGTCAGAATGGTAAAAGGATCTATCCACACTACAAACTAGTTTCTTTTTAAACATTTTTACCCTTTTAACTTAAAAATTGAGAATATATTCTTGGGAACTCTATATTCTTCCATCATGTTTTCAATATATTGAAAATAAGTAATGACATTAATTATTGATGATTTTGTAGTCAATTATGAAAAAAGACTACAAATTCCACCAAAGAGAGCATTAAGTGAAAAAAATTGTGACATCAGTAGTAAATATTTTTTTTAACTTTAATTATATACATCTTGGTGTTGTTTAGCCATAAATATTCCCAAATATATTTGACAAAAAAGTAGAAAATAGTGTTTGACCAGGTCTAATATGTTTTGAGTTATTATTTTTTAAATGTTTCTACAAATTATGTCATATAGTTTGAATTCAATACAAATTATATAAAAGAAATTAAAAGCTGTAATTTATAATTAAAATATACCTAAATTAGTACCAACGATTTACGTTTGTTCACATCTGTTATCTTTCAATTTTGATTGCTATACTAATTGAGGGAATTTTCTGTGGTTATTCTCCCTTGTGGTCTAGTCTTCTTTTATAGAGGGAAAAAACAGGGAAGTTTCTTAGCAATAATATACCAAATACATTATTGTTTCTTGTTTGACTATTTAGTTTTGTAAATACTATTGGTACTCCCACTCCTATCATAACAAGTGGTGTTTTTCTTTCTTTCGAAATAAGTGGTGCTTCACAGAATAAGATAAATAGTTGAGAGAGTGTACACTATGGTAATTTAGGTATAAAACTAGCTCATTGAAAAATCTTTAGATGTGTTTTTGATCATTATAATTTATATATCTCTATTTCATTATTTCATTAAATTACTTGGATTACTCTTTTTTTTTCAATACAATTGTCAGGATCGAAATAACACGATATTGCGCGAAACTAACAATTGCAAGTCATGAAGATGATATAAAAAAGGCATAATATATAAATATACTATTTAACTTGACTTCAACTGACATCTATGCACTCTAACTTTGAATATGTATAAGTAGACACTCAAACTTTTATTAGGCACAAAATGCAGAATCCTAGAATCACTAATTCTAAAAAAAATGAATATGCCATTAAATAGTGTAACAACTCTAATATCATAATAGAAACGTTCAAATATTATAATTACTAAACTCGAAGTTACAGCGGAAAATTGAATTAACAAAGAGAACTATTGTAGAAGATAACTAGAAGGGAGATGAGAAGCATAGACTCAACAAAAGGGATGAGAAGACTAGGCATTTTTATCAACAATTTGCATAAATCGCTTTCTCATCCGTCATCCTTTTAATTAGTTGTTAATTGGGCCTGGATCCCAAATCAGGCTTTCCAGTTTTGTTACTTTTTCTTGGTCGAATAACTAATTGTGTGACATTCCTATGGATATTGACATTGGACAAGGCTAGTTCATAACAAGTAGTGTGCTTATTAGTAGCAATTTTTTTATTAATTGTAATAAATAAAATCCTCATTGGTGAGAAGCACAAATAAGTAGGACAATATTTTAATTATTCTTTCGCATACAAATACATAATTGAATCTATTGAATTCGTTCTAGATTCGCAATTTTATTTCGATACATAATTCGAAACTTCATAAGATGAATACGAATATGTTTATTTTTGAGTAGAAGAAGAAGTTGTAGCATGAGCGCGAGCACAATCTTGGAAAAAAGCAAGCAACTCATCATGTCTTGGAGGTAGATATTCCTTAACTTGACTGCAATTGATATATTCATCTCTCCAAGCACAAAAATTTGGAAATTTTTCACTTGTTACTAGTTCAACTCCAGAGGCTTCTTGACAAATTCCTAGCCAATATCCCACCAAATTTGCAGCAATATCAGCAAATCCAAATTTGTCACCCACAAAAAACTTCTTGTCTTTGAGCTCATTATCAAGAACTTTCAACATCTCACAAGCTTCCTCTTTACCTTTCTCTTGCTCCTCTCCTTTACGTATGAAAGTACTTACCACCGCTCCCACCTACAAAGTACAGTTACTACGTCTCAATCTCCAGCAAGTCAGAATCGATTATTTATATATTCTTCAATTTATTCATATTTCACTCCCTTAATTAATCTTTAAAGCCGCCCACTCTAACTTTGAGACTAAATGGGCTATACTAATAACCTAGCAACTTCACTTGTGCCATATTACAACTTTGGTTATAATTGTTTGCTAATTTACTATGTTAAAGGATATTTTAGTGGTGACAAATTAAAGTACTAAATGAGAGAGTAGTTGAAGGTACCTAATTTTTTATAATTTTTTTATTTTTAAAATTCTTCTTGTAGTTTATTTGCCTTTACATGGGACCAAATGTTGCGCAAGTCTTGATAAGGCAAATGCTTATTAAATTTGTTCAAATGCATTAAATGACATACGTAAGCACTTAGCTAACTCTATTTTGAGACACAAAACCCAAGGATTTAAATAGTACTCTTTAACATATTAAAAATGATTCAAGAACACTCTCAACTGGATCGATCATATTTTCATGAGCTAATTTTATCATCACTAACCTCCTACATAGATCTTGTTTTTCACTATATATGTCATATAGTGACATCGAAAATTACATTAGTCTCAAAAAGGTTTACTAAATTATGGAGATAGCAATATATAACATGAAGACGAATTTACCTTATCATCAAGGAATTTAGCCCAAAAACGAGCTAAAGCACGATCGTAAGGATCTTTAGGCAAGATGGAAGGGCCTTCAAATGTCTCATCGATGTATTCAACAATGACCATAGACTCACAAATGGACTTGCCATTGTGAATTAACACTGGGATTTTCTTGTGTATTGGATTAGATTGAAGAAGTAAAGGGCTCTTATTTTGTAAATCTTCTTCTATAAATGCATATTTGACTCCCTTAATCTTTAGAGCCCATTCAACTCTATGACTAAAAAAGCTATACCATAGACCAAGCAACTTAACATCTGCCATCTCTCAACTTTTCTTAACTTTTTTTTGCTTTACTAATTGAGGGAATTTTATTTGGTTGTTGATTCTCTCTTGAGGTCTAGTCTTCTTTTATATAGAGAAAAAACATTAATGTTTCTCGTTTTACTATTTAGTTTTGTAATTTAATAATGCTTTCAGTTTGGCCGATGACTTGAAATAAATACTATATATTGGTACTTGACAAGTGGCGTTTTTATATTTTTTATTTTGGTTAAAAATAAGCGGTGTTTCACGAAATAAGATAAAGAGTTGAGAGTGTACACTATGGAACATCAAATGCTAGTTGAGATGTGTTTTGATAAATAGTTAGTGATATTTCAGATAGAATATACAAACATAAGATAATTCAGATATAAACTCACAAATAATGACACTTTAGATATGTTTTGAACCATTAACTATCCATTTCTTTATATTGATAGTAAATAAAATTTAATCCCGAGAATAATAAGATGACTTTTATATGTCACTCCCTAATTCATCAAATAATTATATGGCTTACTTCTCTTGTTCTTTTTTTTTACAATACAATTGTTGGGATCAAAATAATATAATATGAGGAAGCTAATATTTTAATTCTTTTCTTTTGCATACAAATACATAATTGGATCTATTAAAATCGTTATAGATTCACTATTTTATTTAGACATATAATTTGAAATTTCAAAAGATAACTCATGATGTATTTATTTTAGAGTAGAAGCAGAAGCTGCAGCATAAGTGCGAACTTGACCTTGAAAAAAAGCAAGTAACTCATCATTTCTTGGAGGTAAATATTCCTTGACTTGACTGCAATTAACATACTCATCTCTCCAAGCACAAAAATTTGAAAATTTTTCACTTGTTACTAATACAATTCCAGAGGCTTCTTGAAAAATTCCTAGCCAAAGTCCCACAAAATTTGCAGCCATATCAGCAAACCCAAATTTGTCACCAACAAACAACTTCTTATCCTTGAGCTCATTATCAAGAACTTTCAACATCTCACAAACTTCCTTTTCCTCTCCTTTGCGTAAGAAAGTATTCACCATTGTTACCACCTACAACAATCACGATAATACTACGACTCAATTTCAAGCAAGTCAGAATCAACACTCCCTATATTTTTTTGTATAATAAGATCTAAAGTAAATGTACTAACATGACTAAATTATGCAAATAGGTATATATAGCATGAAGATAAATTTACCTTATCGTCAAGGAACTTAGCCCAAAAACGAGCTAAAGCTCGATCATAAGGGTCTTTAGGTAAGATGGAAGGGCCTTCAAATGTCTCGTCAATGTATTCAACAATCACCATAGATTCACAAATTGGCTTCCCATTGTGAATTAGCACTGGAATTTTCTTGTGAATTGGATTGGATTGAAGAAGCAAAGAGCTTTTGTTATTTCGATCTTCTTCAATATATTCATATTTTACACCCTTAATCTTTAGAGCCCACTCAACTCTATGACTAAATGGGCTATACCAAAAACCTAGCAACTTCACTTGTTCCATATCACAACTTTGGCTATAATTGTTTGCTAATTTACTATATTAAATGAAAATTTAGTGGTGGTTATAATTAATCTCTTTTGAATTATGGTCTTCTTTTATAGAAAGAAAATTTGAGGGAGTGGTTGAAGGTTCTTATAATATTTTATTATTTACCTGACATCTATGTAAGCACTTAGCCAACAAACATAAAGACGTGTATGCATTCATCACGTTCATGAGGTAAATTTATTCAAAAAGGAATAATTTTACTTTTGAAGTTGTAATTCAAATTTGGAAAACTGATTTAAATTTAACTCACTTTCATTTTTAAAGTCGTATTAATTAAGTACATTTTCACTTTTATATTCTTGTATTACGTAAATATCTTTATTTGTGATATCATCATATTTAGATAATATATTTTAAGTTTTGTAATAATTATAGAATACCTTTTTCAAGTTTTTATTTTCTTCATGCTTGTTAATTAGTAAAGATTTGTTACCTCATTAAGATTAGTAAGATAAGATCTAGCCCTCTCTCTATTTGAGGTTTCCGTTTCTATTTATTAATTTTAAAAAATTAACCATAGGCACCTTAAATAAAGGATTAGTTTTTTTTTTTTGCAAAAAGTACAATCAAACATAACTCCATCTTGAACTTTAACTCTATAAATTTTAAATAAAATAAAAAATATTTGAAATATATGGCCCAAATGTCTACTTAGTTGCTCATATTAATTTCAAATAAAATTGTCGGGTGAAACCATCGTAATTTTGGGGGATTTTCCTCACTGATTTACGAAAGCCATGGGATGATCTTACTTTTCTGCATTCCTCCCTTGCGAGTAGAACACTAGAGATGCCCAACGTAATGAGTTACGGGATCGATCAGTACGTATAATCTCACAATGATTCACGTTATTTTTGGGCATTTAGGAGCCATATTATTGGAATGAGGCGATTTTTTCAATTTTTCGTGTGTGTTAGTCTATGAATATTTGGTAAAATAACATACGATCGATTTTTTCGAAAAACATTATCAGACCTTCCGTAATAAGTTGGGGGAGCAATACACATAGCCTCACCATGATCTATGGAATTTTTACGCATTTAGAAGCCATTTTATAGGAATTAGGCGATATTTCAATTTTTCGTGTGAGTTAGCCCATGAATAGTTGGTGAAATGACTTCTAGTCGATTTTTAATTATTTTTTTTTACAAGATGCACTGTAAGAAATTGTGGGAGAAGTAAGTATAGCCTCATCATGATCCACTATATGTTTAGACATTTAAGCGCCATTTTACAAGAATTATGTGTGCCACTAAATAGTATGCCCAGTGGCAATTTTTTTAATAAGTACTTCCTTCATTCCATATTAATTGAATTTTTGAGGTGTTTCACACTCTTTAAGAAAAGTAGATTAAGACATAAATTGAACATAGTTTTCCATTTTTACCCTTATTCATTATTATCAAATTTATTGAAGTCATCACATTGAAAACTCAAATGAAGGGTAAAATTGGAAGAACAGTCTAAAAGTAGTCTTGAAAACTGAACAATTAAGTTAATTTGAAAAAATGAAAAATGTCTTAAAAATTCAATTAATATGGAATGAAAGGAGTTATAAATCTAGATCCACACCGGTGAGAAGTACAAGCAAGTGGGGCAATATTTTATTTTTTTCTTTTGCATACCAATACATAATTGAATCTATTGAAATCAATGGAGATTCACAATTTTATTCAGACACATAATTTGGAATTTCAAAAGATGAACACTTACAAGGAAGTGGGGGCAACATTAATGAAGTACAAATATGTTTAAAACACATAATTTGAAACTTTAAAAGATGAATCGGAATGTATTTATTTTTGAGTAGAAGCAGAAGCTGCAGCTTGAGCACGAACGAAAACTTGAAAAAACGCAAGCAAATCATTTCTCGAAGGTAGATATTCCTTGACTTGACTGCAATTAACGTACTCATCTCTCCAACCACAAAAATTTGGAAATTTTTCACTTGTTACTAATTCAATTCCAGAGCCTTCTTGAAATAATCCAAGCCAAAGTCCAACCAAATTTGCAACAATATCAGCATATCCAAATTTGTTAGCCACAAAGAAAGTTTTGTCTTTGAGCTCATTATCAAGAATTTTCAACATCTCACAAACTTCCTCTTTAGCTTTCTCTTGCTCCTCTCCTTTGCCTAAGAATGCATTTACCACCGTTACCACCTACACAAAGTACAATGATACTAGGCCTCAATCTCAAATAAGTCAGAGTCGACTATCTATATAAATTCTCATTAACAATGTTATTTTATATACAAAATTATGAAAAGTGTGTAAAGCTTTCTATATTTTCTATATAATAAGATCTAAAGTAAATGTACTAATATATTGAATGAAGACGAATTTACCTTATCATCAAGGAACTTAGCCCAAAAACGAGCTAAAGCACGGTCATGAGAGTCTTTAGGTAAGATGGAAGGGCCTTCAAATATCTCGTCGATGTACTCAAGAATGACCATAGAATCACAAATGGGCTTGCCATTGTGAATGAGCACTGGGACTTTCTTGTAAATAGGGTTGGATTCAAGAAGTAAAGGGCTCTTGTTATATCGATCTTCTTCTATATATTCATATTTAATGCCTTTAAGCTTTAGAGCCCACTCAACCCTATGAGTAAATGGACTATACCAAAAACCTAGCAACTTCACTTGTGCCATATCACAACTTTGGTTATTATGCTAATTTACTATGTCAAAGGATATTTTAGTGGTGGTTATGTCTTGAATCATGATCTTCTTTCTTCTTTTATAGAAGGGAAAATTGAGGGAGTGGTTGAAGGTTCCTATTTTATTTATTTTAAAAAAATAATCTTGTAATATTTTATTCTTTACCTAGAACCAAACGTTGTGTAAGACTTGGAAAGACAAATAATTATTAAATTAGTCCATGTTTGTTTAAAGACATGGAAAGACCAACGTAAGCGCTTAGCTAACAAACAAAAAGTCGTATTATTATTGATAATATAATTAAATAATAAAAGTGTGTTCTCTCTAATAGCTTAAACTTTTAAATAAGATGGTCATACACTTTAACATAATATCAGAGCAGGCAAAGGTATCGATCGCCGCCCATATTTAAAAAATAGTGCTGAATTAAAAAAAAATAAAAAATTCATGTAGGTCAAAACAAACTACTTTTAATTTATAGTACATATTGTATTAGGGAGTATATGTCTTGTGGTACAAGATAATTTCGTCACTGCAAACGATTACTGAATTTTTAGTCACTAGAAAAATTAAGTCACAAAGCTACTGTTTTTTAACATATTAAAGTAATTAGATTTTTTTTTTTCTAAAATAGAAATGATTGAAAACTCAAACCTATGAAACCAGGATAATCATTTTCTCTTTAAATTTTTGTTGATTGATGTCTTTTATTTATAAAATGTGGGTAGTCAAAATATTAAAAGAATTGATTCTCTTTTTACTTTATTTTTTGCCAATTATTTGAAGGGTTCATTGAATTTTCCAATTGACACACTTGTGAGTTGTGACTTATTGGTAGGCCAGTGGCGGATCCAGGATTTTTGTTGAGGGGGTGCGAAGTATAAAGAAGTAAACACGTAAAAATTACAAGATGAAAAACCGAATGACATGGGAGGAAAATATTAATTTTAATCCGCTAAATTTAACTTATATTGTCATGTTGTGTTTAGGTTCTTCCTACTTTTACCCTAGTCCATTGAGCTTTTCCTTTTATTTTGCAGTATTCTACTTTATAGAATTTTTAAAAAAATTTAGAATTAGTGCACATTCAATCATATGTTAGTTTAAAAACCATCAAGATTTTTTAGAAAGATGTAAAGTTCGAGTAACTAATATTATAGTGCATATTCAAAAGATAAATAAATGATCGTCGACTTTTTTAGTTAATTTAATTCAATTTACTAGGTTAATTATTTGTTAAAAAAACAAATTATGAACCAATCAAATAAGTTTAGTTTAGTTTTAATCTCTTTAGAACCGACTTGAAAATGGTAAGAAAGAGATACAATAAAATTAAGAAAAAAAATTCAATTAAATAGATCTTATTAAAAAAATATTCCCAAGTTTTAAATTGTTTCATTCGTTTAATCTTAATTTACTTTATTTTATATAATAGTTTTCTAATTCAATTTTAAATTTAATAACAATTCATCATTTTCTCAAAGAGTTTTTTTAAGTTAGTACATGAGAAGAGAGTTATGTAGAAATAAAATGAGCAATATAAATAAGAAGAATTAAAGACAAAAATATAAAAAATGTGGCTAATAAATTTAAACAAAGATAAATTAAGAAAAAGATATAACATAAAAAGAAAAATAATATAGTTTTAGATTGAATCCAAAAATAATGAAGCCTTTTATTGAGTATTCTAAGCCCAAAACCTGAGCCCATCTCAACCTTTTCAAAGCAGGAAAAAAGTATAAACCTGTTGCACTCAATGAGAATCGAACCTGGAACTTGCAGCTCAACAATGAACCCCCTTGCCAGTGAGCCACGCTCCTCTTTTGGTTGTTGAAGGGGTTCATTTTACTATATATACGCTTAACATCAAAAGTTTACCTTATATATACAGTGTAATTTTTCGATGAGAGGGTTCGGATGAACCCCTAAGGGACACGTAGGTCCGCCCCTGGGTAGGCCCTTAATAACTCTACTTAGCCTCCATATATATTTTTTCAATTGTATTATCTACACCCAGGTTTAGATTTCAAATTGTTTAAATTTAACATAGTTAAATAATTTAATAAAATTTTATTATTTAGCCTTTCATATTCAAAATAATTTATTTTTTAAATAAATCAATAGAAATTTATTATTTTTATAATGTTATATTCATCATTAAATAACTCTATAAGATATTAATAGAATTATTTATATTTTTAAAGCATAATTAAAAATAATAATTTAATAAAATAAACTCGTTATAAATAATTTATTAAGAAAAATATCAAATTAATATAAATCAACTAAAAATAACCTAAAAATATATTCATTGACTCTACGTAGGCATTCAAATAAGATTTTACATTTATGATGAGTAAATACAATTTACCAAGATATATCATTTTTTTTTTTTAATTTTTATTATATTGGACTCGTATTAATACGGACCATTTCCCCGAACTTGTACTACAATTATATGAGTTATATTTATATTTTTATAGAGGCTTACACATATAAGTCATGATTTGATCGTTTAAATATTTCTTTACATATGCCACGCACTGTCTATTTCATCAAACAGTTCTTACTTTTTTTGTAATTATAATTAATCGTATCTTACTTTTTTTGCTTTTTTCTATTTCTTTTCCAATTGATATGATTTTTTTTATAAAAAGCGCTCTGCTTAGTGGTAAATTTTGCTTAAAAAGAGAATAAGATACGATTAATTATTGTAGAATCACTGACCAATCAACATATTAAGAACAGTAACACAACACAGTTAATTATTGGTTTGTTACTAGTTGGCAAAGCTAGCTTTTTCTAACAAATAATTTTATTAGGACTTTCTTTATCTTATACAAACACTCATTTTAATTCTTTTCTTTATTTGCACACTTATTATACATAATTGAAATCTACGAGATTCGTACTAGAATCACAATCTTATTCCAATACATAATCCAAAACTTATATGAGTATTCATTTATTTTTGAGGAGTAGCAGAAGTTGGAGCTTGAGCGCGAACACGATCTTGATAAAAAGCAAGCAACTCATCAAATCTTGAAGGTAGATATTCCTTGACTTGACTGCAATTAATATACGCATCTTTCCAAGCACAAAAATTTGGAAATTTTTCATTTGTTGCTAATACAATTCCAGATGCTTCTTCGAAAAATCCCATCCAAAGTCCCACCAAATTTGCAGCCATATCAGCATAACCAAATTTGTTAGCCACAAAGAGCTTCTTGTCCTTGAGCTCATTATCAAGAATTTTCAACATCTCACAAATTTCCTCTTTAGCTTTCTCATGCTCTTCTCCCTTGCGTAAGAATGCATTTACCACCGCGGCCACCTACAAAATATAATAATACTACGCCTCAATCTCAAGTAAGTCAGATCGAGTCGGCTATTTATGCAAATAAGAATATATTGAATGAAGATGAATTTACCTTGTCATCAAGGAACTTAGCCCAAAAACGAGCTAAAGCTTGATCATAAGGGTCTTTAGGCAAGATGGAAGGGCCTTCAAATATCTCGTCGATATACTCAAGAATGACCATAGAATCACAAATGGGCTTGCCATTGTGAATGAGCACTGGGACTTTCTTGTAAATAGGGTTCGATTCAAGAAGTAAAGGGCTCTTGTTATATCGATCTTCTTCTATATATTCATATTCGATGCCCTTAATCTTTAGAGCCCACTCAACCCTGTGAGTAAATGGGCTATACCAAAAGCCTAGCAACTTAATTTGTGCCATATCACAACTTTACAATGTTAAAGGAAATTTTAGTGGTGGTTATGTCTTGTATCATGATCTTCTTTTATACAAGGAAAAATTGAGGGAGTGGTTGAAGGTTCAAACGTTGTACAAGACTTGGAAAGAGAAATAATGCTTATTAATATTAATTGTTCAAAGGCATTGATATGACCTACGTAAGCACTTAGCTAACAAATTAAAATTGTTCATAGTGTAATTGGAGTATATGTTTTGTGGTACAAGATAAGTCGTCACTCCAAACGATTACTAAGTTTTATTCACTAGAAAAATTAAGTCACAAAGCTATTGTTTTTTAACTAGATCTGAACTAAATCAAATAAAAAATCGCCTTAAATCGTGAATCGAGAAAAAAATATTTGATTAGTGATTTGATTTAGTATTGGAAAAGGATCCGACTATAACTGGGATGCTTTCACACCCCAAATCCGGATGTGATGGCACGTGTCCATTTCCCACCGGACACGTCAGCCTAACCCAACCACAACGATAGAGAAGTAGAAATACGAGAATAAAAGATAATAAATAAGCGGAAGACTTTAATTAAGACTCAACACTACCCAGAATTTGGTTGTCACATGTACAAACCTCTAAATACAGAATTCGAATAAAAATATACAAGTCTCAGAGTATAGTTCTCGAATAGAACAAAGCTGAAAGTAAAGATAACTCAAGGGCACGTCTGGAATGAACCGCTACCTCTCGAGTATGTCCCGAAGCTCAATCTGCTAAAGAAAATACTAAGCCGAATCTAAGAGAGCTGTCAACCTACACAATTGTGTAGAAGCAAGGGTGAGTACCGAAAACCACAGGTACTCGCAAGTAACTCTAAACTAAGCAAAACTAGCAGCTACAAACAACTCCTTTCAATCCCAACCGAACCACCGAAACTTCAATCTAGCAGCAAACCAACCAACCTATACTAAACAGACCATATTCAACAGCCAGAACCAACAGTATATCCTCATCAACCTCAGATCAACAAATAAGAGCAAGTAGATCAAATTCCACATAAGAAGGGTAAAGCGATACAATCCACACATCACAGACAAAGATAAGGCAAATGCGATGCAAAATGCAATAATGATGTCATGTAGTCGTGATGCATGTTTGTCCTACGATACACATCTGTTGACGTAATCAGTCCGCGCTTAATACTCAAATCAGAACCCATGGGGGCCACACATGGGCCATGTATCACAGTCGGAACCAGATCCCATCGGCATCCAAATTGCTAGCCGGAGCTAGTCCATCTCATATAGCTCTAGCCGGAGCTAGGCTCAACTGTGTCTCATATCCATCCATCCTCATATCAGTGTCTCAGAACTCATGCAACAGATAGTTCACACATGAGATGAATAATGAATATGCACATGTCATCAATCACAATCATATCACGATCACATCATAGTATTACACATCATCTGTCTCAATCACAACCATATCACGACCACATCATAGTATTACACATCACCTGTTTCAATCACAATCAGATCACGACCACATCATAGTATTACACATCACTTGTCTCAATCACAACCATATCACGACCACATCATAGTATTACACATCACCTGTTTCAATCACAATCAGATCACGACCACATCATAGTATTACACATCACTTGTCTCAATCACAACCATATCACGACCACATCATAGTATTACACATCACATGTCTCAATCACAACCATATCACGACCACATCATAGTATTACACATCACCTGTCTCAATCACAACCATGTCACGACCACATCATAGTATTACACATCATCTGTCTCAACATCAATGTCTGTATCAATCATAGCCTACTCATGCTCTTCTATCCCCTCAATATTAGTTATCACATGACTTATTCAACAAATTCAAGTCACGTATAACACATTTAGCTCGTTTTATTCCCCATCTTTCATTTACAACAATTTCAATCAACAAATAAAACTCATCCTCAATCCCCATTACTCCCCAACACAATTAGGAAAGTAGTCATGCGTAGTCTAAGAGTTTTACAAAGTTTGGAAGCCACTTGCCTTAAAACGAACTCCAAAAATTACTTGACTTGAGCCTTTCCTTTTCGAGTATAATCCGAATCACGATAATCTATTCAAACAATTTCACAATCACAATTCGAGTCCAATGACACCAAAATCAAGAAATTTAGGGAAAAGGGGCAAAACGGTCCAAAAGTCTCATACCGGAAAACGATACCCAAATCTGGAAATTTTTGATGTAAAATGATCCTTAAAGTATTTGGAAGCTAATGGTGAAAACCAATTTGAAAACGGAGTTGAAATCAATTCACAAACTCAATTTGAAGGAAAATCCATGTTCTTGAAGAAGCCTAAAATATTCGGATCCAAAACCCCGACTCGAAAATGAGATATCTCTTGAAAAACATCTTACCCATGCTTAGATAAGTTCAGATATGAAATTTCATCAGAAACAGAGTTAAGATCGACCTTGAAATTCTCAATTTATCAAACTTTAACTTTACCAGGAAAGTCCAAATTGTACGCGGCTAATATGATGAAAATAATCGATGAATCAATAGTTTTATGTTAAAATTAGTTTACCCATAACATAAGGATCGTAAATATACCTTTTTCATCAAAAAGGGAGTCCAAATCGATAAAACCCTAATTTTTCCCAAGAGGTTTACGGATAGGGAAAAAAAAACCAGATAAAGAAATTATGAGAAAATGTCGAATTGAAGATTGAATACTAACCCTCATATTAATTCAAGAAGAAACCCGTAAGAATCACTCCATTCCGATCTCTAGAACTCCCGATATGCTCAAAATACCAAATGAACACAGTCTGAGATTTTTATAACAATACATGGCTGTTATGCACCAGAAAAACAACAGTTAATCTTTCACTAAAAAGGCCGTAGTTTCCTCATACGATAGTGAAATGACCCGATTCTTTTTTGTAAATGTCTTAAATAATGATACGGACCTGCTCGTTCAATCGGAGCTCAATTTCATGCTCGTTTGCCCAGTCAAATATCATTTCTACTGGGTAAACAATTATTTCTTATTTGCGATAAAAGTCCAATCTCGGGTTAGTGTAAATGCACCAAAATTTGCAGATAAGTCCTATAATTAATGCTTAAAATTTCAGAACCTTCGAAAAAAAATTTCGACCTTTTAAAACTAATAATGAACCCTTTAGTTGTCATAATTTGCTGAAATAGTGTTAATGCATCCAAGAAGCTTAAAAGCTCACCCAAAACTCATTTGGCACTTCCCGAACACAAACCAAATATGCTACTAGCTTGAAAATGACATTTCGCACTCAATGAAATCGTCGGAATTTGAATTCGAGGTCTCCTTGACCCAATATCCGATAAGGCGTCAAGAAACTAACTTTAGACTCAAAAACTCGAAACGCACTCGGGGACTCTAAAAATTTAACCAAGACTTATTCTAGACTTAGAATCACCCCTGAATCCAACGGTAACCTCGGAATTCCATTTCGAACACCGGAACCTCGTTTGTTGACCAAAGTCAACTCTTGATCAAAATTTCACAATTTTAGCAACTTAGGACCTCAAATCTTTGTTTTAACTCCAAATTCGACTCCGTAAATTCTCATAGACCCGTTTCGACATTCTAAAACTTCTGGAATCGACGAAAATCCGATTCGAGTCTCGAAACTCCAAATGACTCGAAGTAGCACTTTTAACCAAACTTTAACTCTTAAAAACTCAACTTTCCAAAAATTCAACTTTTCATCAATTTTCCTTCAAACCAACTTCGAAAATCCAACAATTAGGACTCGGGGCAATTATCGAGAGGGGTAAAACGGTCATTTTATGAAAATTTTCAAAAATGACCTTTTGATTCATTACAAATGCTTTGATTTTAACTTTAAGACTATCGTCTCCAATCCACCTCTATTATACTCTCCATTCTCTATATTTGGAGAGTAAAATAGAGAATGGGCTCTCCATAATGATTCTTTAGGTGGATCTAGGTTTGGATTGAGATTTAATTAGTTTAGGTTAACTCTAGAACACAACAATAAAATCGTGTCACGCAATAAATGATACATTTAATAATATTTTAAAATGTGGCTGTCAAAAATAAGGACATTTCAGGGCCAGTACGTTGACGTCAAGGGTATTTTAGAGCCGAAAGGTGGACGAAGGGTATTTTTGTACTAAATTCGATAGTTCAAGGGTATTTTAGGCCATTTTTCGATTTAAAATAACTTAAAATAAATTTAAAATAACTTAATTATGACTCTCCCTACTTTTTATTTTTTTGACTTAAAAGTCTATTAAGAGCCCGTTTGGATTGACTTAAAAAAAGTAACTTTTAAAAAGTAACTTTTTAAAGTGCTGGAACTTATTTTTAAAATAAGTAGTTATGTGTTTGGATAAAAGTGTTGCAGTTGAAAAAAAAGTTGTTGATGTGTTTGGCAAATAAGTGCTAGTAAACACTTTTTTTTATCAAAATGTCTGAAATACCCTTTAAGCTGTTAACATGATAAAAAGTTGATTAATTTAAGGTTTTTATACTTAAAAAAAAATTAAAACAAAATTAATTTATGTTTTACATCCATAAGTAATAATATTTTTCTATCATTCACATATTTCTTTACCACCTTATAAGAGGAATATAAATTCATATTTCAGAAATAATAATAATAATAATAATAATAATAATAAAATAATAAAAAAATAATAATAATAATAATAAAATAATAAAATAATAATAATAATAATAATAATAAAATAATAATAATAATAGTAATAGTAATAGTAAAAATAATAATAAAATAATAATAATAATAGTAATAGTAATAGTAAAAATAATAATAATAATATAATAATAATAGTATAATAATAATAATAATAATAGTAATAATAATAATAATAATAATAATAATAATAATAATAATAATAATAATAATAATAGTAATAGTAATAATAATAATTATAATAATAATACACATAATAATAATATAATAATAATAATAATAATTATAATTATTATTATTATAATAATAATAAACATAATAATAATAATAATAATAATTTAATAATAATAAAAATAATAATAGTAATAGTAATAATAATAATAATAATAGTAATAGTAATAGTAATAGTAAAAGTAATAATAATAATAATAATAATAATAGTAATAGTAATAATAATAAGAATATAATAATAATAATAATAATATAATAATAATAATAATAATAGTAATAGTAATAATAATAATAATAATAATTATTATTATAATTAATTATAATTATAATAATTATAATAATAATAATAAGAATATAATAATAATAATAAAATAATAATAATAATAATAATAATAATATTTCAATATGGGCAATTTGGAAATTGTATAAAAGAATTAAGGGCAAAAAGGTAATATACTTGGTCAACATAAAAGTGCTTTTAAGTTAAAAAAAAAAAAGCTCCCCCCCCCCCTAGCTTTTAGCTTTTGGCTTAAAATAAGTCATTTTTGACTTAAAATAAGTCATTTTGATAATTGCCAAACACTCTAATAAGTCAAAAACTGGCTTTTAAGCCAGTTTGACCAGCTTAAAATCCCATCCAAACAGGCTCTAAGTTTAACCAAAACTACTTTTTTTTTAAGTCAATCCCAAATTTGTCACCCACAAACAATTCTTGGTATGTTACTAGTTGGCTAAACTAGCTTTTTCTAACAAATAATTTTATTAGGAATTTCTTAATCTTATACAAACACACATTTTAATTCTTTTCTTCATTTGCACACTTATACATAATTGAATCTACGAGATTCTTCCTAGAATCACAATCTTATTCCAATGCATATGAGTATTCATTTATTTTTGAGGAGTAGGAGCTTGAGCACGAACACGATCTTGATAAAAAGCAAGCAACTCATCAATTCTTGAAGGTAGATATTCCTTGACTTGACTGCGATTAATATATTCATCTCTCCAACCACAAAAAATTGGAAATTTTTCATTTGTTGCTAATACAACTCCAGATGCTTCTTGGAAAACTCCCATCCAAAGTCCCACCAAATTTGCAGCCATATCAGCATAACCAAATTTGTCACCAACAAAGTACTTTTTATTATCCTTGAACTCATTATCAAGAACTTTCAACATCTCACAAACTTCCTCTTTACCTTTCTCTTGCTCCTCTCCTTTGCGTAAAAAAGTATTTACCACCGCTCCAACCTACAAAGTACACACTCAAAACTTAACAACAATATACTACGTCTCAATTTCAAGCAAGTCAGAATCGACTACTTATATAAATTATGTGAATAGGAATATACCTTATTATCAAGGAACTTAGCCCAAAAACGAGCTAAAGCTCGGTCATAAGGGTCTTTAGGCAAGATGGAAGGGCCTTCAAATGTCTCGTCGATGTATTCAAGAATGATCATTGACTCACAAATGGTCTTGCCATTGTGAATTAGCACTGGGACTTTCTTGTGAATAGGGTTGGATTGAAGAAGTAAAAGACTTTTGTTATCTCGATCTTCTTCAATATATTCATATTTTACACCCTTAATCTTTAAAGCCCATTCAACTCTATGACTAAATGGACTATACCAAAAACCTAACAACTTTACTTGTGTCATATCACAACTTTGGTTATAATGCTAATTTACTATGTTAAAGAATATTTTAGTGGTGGTTGTCTCTTGAATTATGATCTTCTTTTATAAAAGGAAAAAATCGAGGTAGCTAGTCCTAAATTTCTTATTTTTTATTCAAGAAAATCTTCCTATATTTTATCTGCCTTTAATTTACATGGGACCAAACGTTGCGTAAGAATTAAACAAATGCTCATTTAATTAATTCATGTTTGTGGAAGATATTGAATGGCATACGTAAGCACTTAGCTAACAATTTACCAAATACTTTACTCATATATTTGCTTAGTTCTTACTAACAAGATCAATGGCCCTCCTCTTTTTGCAAAGTTAATGAGCATATATTTGCTCCCTTCCCCTTGTTTTACAATGAATAAAGTTCAATAATTACACCGGACATTAATCCTTCTTTACTCTATCTTGACCTTAATAGCCTGTTTGGATTGATTTGAAAGTTGGTTAAATTTATTTTTAAGTTTCTTTTAGCTTTTTGGGAGTGTGGAAAATTTAAAAATAACTTAATTACAACTCTCCCTACTTTTTATTTTTTTGACTTAAAAGTCAATTAAGTTTAACAAAAACAACTTTTTTTTACCAAAACAGACAAAAAATAAACTAAAAGTCATGAGTTAAAATTTCGAACTTATAACTTTTTGGACTATAATAAACAACCCCAAGTGGAAAGAAAGAAATATATAAGCATACACTTAAGCGTTACTTTTTGACTCGTCATTCACTCAAAGATGTCTTATGCGTGATGCCTACTTTAGAAACTTCCTTATATTTATACCAAAAATAAATATGACTTTTGACTTCCACATATATTGTAGTACACAAACACAAAGTTGCAAATGCAAAATCAACTACCAAATGTAATGAAATTAAAGAAGAAAAAATGCATATGCTTGGCCAACAAGAAATTTTCAAAATTTCTCAAGACTATAAGAAAAAGAACAAATCAGAAGACTAAACCAAACCATCATTAAAAAAAATATTCTTCAATACAAGAATATGGTAGATCAAGTTAAGTTGATTGGTGTTAGTGGTAGTTCTTATAGTCGTAGAGTTGAATGGGCTTTGAGAGTTAAAGGAGTGAAATATGAATTTATAGAAGAAGATCTACAAAACAAGAGTTCTCTACTTCTTGAATCAAATCCCGTCCTTAAGAAAATCCCAGTACTAATTCACAATGGAAAGCCCATTTGTGAGTCTATAGTAATTGTTGAATACATTGATGAGACATTTGAAGGTCCTTCTATCTTGCCTAAAGACCCTTATGATCGAGCTATCGCACGTTTTTGGGCTAAGTTCCTTGATGGAATGGTGAGTTGTTATACGTAGTAATCATACGTAGTAATTATTAGTATTACAAAGCATATGCTAGTTCAGTAATCATACGTGAAATTAATTAACGTTTCTTTGTGGTTTTAAGTGCTTGGATGCAGTGAGGAAAGCTCTATGGAGCAAAAGAGAGGAACAAGAGAAAAACATACAAGAAGAAGCTTATGAGATGCTGAAAATTGTTGACAATGAACTTAAGGACAAGAAGTTTTTTAGTGGAGATAAAATTGGATTTGTTGATGTTGCTGCAAATTACATCCCATTTTGGGTTGAAATTGTTGAAGAAGCTACTGGAAATGTGTTGATTACAAGTGAAAAGTTTCCTAATTTGTGTGCTTGGATAGATGAGTATCTTAAGTGTAGTGAAGTTCAAGAAAATCTTCCTGATAGAGACATGATGCTTAGTTTTTTCAAAGCTAAAGCACTAGCTAAATGAAGATTTGTCTAATTGATTGCGTAAAATTTTAAAATATCTTGTGTTTGGGATAAAACTCTTAAGTCAGAGGAACCTAGCTAGCTTAATTTTCTCAATTTAAGTGATTTTTTGTTTTATGTGTTTGAGCCAAGGAGACCTTATGTTTTCTAGCTTGTTTGTAATTGTTTACTAGAAAAAATGATATAGTTGAATTTGTTACGAGATTAAAGACATGTGTATCGATTTAACTCATTAATTAGTGTATTAGCAATTAAATTTATTAATAAATGAGCTTAATAAGAAAAGTAATGAAGCAAAGAAAAATAAATGAAATAATGGAGCTTGGTTGCTTGATGTTTCAGCCAAATAATTGTCTAGAATTCAATCCTTTACAACTGAATAAAAACTGCTATTTATAGATAAGGAGTATCAGTCAATAGAAAAACTCTACTCAGACCCTAAAGTATTATGTCCAGTAGAAACGCTCCACCTGAAAATATCGTTGCTTGTACTAGTGCCAGCTAATATTCCTTCGTAAGTTGCAAAATGTCGTCTAAATATATTTATGACTTATCTATCCTTTTTTCCCTTTATCCCGTCTTTGGGACATAGGTCCTTTTGTTGATTTCAAACTATGAGTTCCCATCTATCCTCGGTGCCACACCATCATTGAACCTCTGTGCCACACCATCATACAACCAAGCGCCTACCCAGTGTCGGCTCAATGCTTATAAAAATTAGGCATATGTAAATTGGGGGACTCTAATTTTTACCACAATAAATTATGTGTTAATTATTTTTATAGTAAAAATTTATTATCTAAAACAAATGTATTTTTCTTTTAAAAATATATATTATTTTATTCTCCTTAACCTCAATCAAATAGAAGAAATCAAGAAAAATGTTGTTTTGTCTTCTTACATTCTCCTCACTAACTCTCGCGTTGTAATTTTCTAGACCCCTTTTATACTATATGTAAGTTAGAGCTCTATTAAAAATATGAATCAATAGTAAAAATCATGTTTTGGATAAAGTGAATTACAAGCATGTATAAATTGACTTATTTCATGTGTTTTTAAACAAAAAAAAAGGTTTATAAACAGTTTTGTCAACTTCTTACTTATACAATAATGTTAACAATTTATATAATAGTTGCCTTAGTTAAAAGATTTTAGAGGCCTCCAAGTACGTTGAACCGCCCCTGCGCCTACCCTGTGCTTTTCTTAGCTTCCGGGCTTGAACGCGCCTTCAAGAAAGGAGCACTTCGACAACTTATATATATCATTGCATCCACATATTTGAGTGTGGTAGAACTTTATTAGTCGAATAGAACCTTCTACTCAAAATTTTACCAACAATACTTATTAGAAGTGAAACAATCAATATGGAAAATTGACTTGTCAAAGAAGAAAAGTACCATTTGCTTGGATACCAAGACACTTTTTTTTTTTTTTTTACCTTCTATAAAAAGAAGAACAAAATTTCATAAAATCAAAACCACAATATAAAATTCCTAAACATAGTAAAGCAAAAAAAACAGAGAACTAAAGTTGTGAGATGGCAAATGTTAAGTTGGTTGGTCTATGGTATAGCCCTTTTAGTCACAGAGTTGAATGGGCTCTCAAGATTAAGGGCGTCAAATATGAATTTATAGAAGAAGATCTACAAAACAAGAGCCCTCTGCTTCTTGAATTGAACCCTGTTTACAAGAAAATACCTGTTCTCATTCACAACGGCAAGTCCATTTGTGAGTCAATCGTAATTGTTGAATACATCGACGAGACATTTGAAGGCCCTTCCATCTTGCCTAAAGACCCTTATGATCGAGCTATAGCTCGTTTTTGGGCTAAGTTTTTTGCTGAAAAGGTATATTTTAGTCGTATTAGTATGTTTATACCTATGTTCTTTTTTTTTAAGGTAAAATTCTTGTGTTTTTTATTGAGAAAATGCATAAATAGCCCCAACCTATGCTAAAAATTCCAGAGACACACTTATGCTATACTAAGGTCCCATTACCTCTGAACTTACTTTATAAATAAGTTTCTACTCCTTTTCGGCCTACGTGGCACTGTCAATGAAAAAATTGTCAACACGCGCTAGGCCCAGAAAATAGTGCCACGTAGGCCCAAAAAGGGTAGAAAATTATTTATAAAATAAGTTTGGGGTAATAGAACCTTAGTATAATATAAGTGTGTCTGTGAGATTTCGAGCATAGATTGGGGCTACTTATACATTTTTCCTTTTTTATTTGTATAGTATTGGACTTAGAGTTTGACATGAGCATATAACTGATTCCAACTTGCTTAAACTTAATTCCGATATACAGAAATAAGTTAAATTGTTATTGATACTTAACTTTTGAGTGTTTTAATTAGTAGGGGCCAGCAGTGGGGAGAAGTTTCTTTCTCAAAGGAGAGGAGCAAGAGAAAGCTAAAGAGGAGGTTTATAAGATGTTGAAAGTTCTTGATAATGAGCTCAAGGACAATAAGAAGTACTTTGTTGGTGACAAATTTGGGTTTGCTGATATTGCTGCAAATGCTGCAGCACTTTGGCTTGGAGTTCTTGAAGAAGCATCTGGAGTTGTTTTAGTCACAAGTGAAAAATTTCCAAATTTTTGTGCTTGGAGAGATGAATACATTAATTGCAGCGAAAACAAGGAATATTTACCTTCAAGAGATGAGTTGCTTGCCAAATTGAAAGCTCGCTTTCAAGTTGCCGAATAAATTTAGGAGTTTAATTGAATTACTATACTGGTTCGAACTACGTATACAATAACAATAACATATATGTATTATCCCACGTTCGAACTATGTATATATTAAGATATATGTAGTTATAAAGCCAATCTTGTTTGAATGGTTGTTACTTATTGTATTCTATTGTATTATTAGTTTAAATTATTGTTTTGCTACTATTAGGGGTCATTTGTTACGCGAGATAAGAAAAATATTTCAGGATTAAGTTTGAGACTAATAATTTGTTTTATTGAAGATATAAATTTATGCAGGATGAGTTTATATCTTCAGTGATAAGTTTATATCATCATCCAGCCTTAATCCTGAATATTCCGTCATATTTTATCAAACATGGTAATTTTAAATTGTATTTTGTATCAATAAAATCATTCAACTTAACTCTAAAGTTTAATAACTTTGCTAGTTAAATTTTCATAATTCACCTTTTGAGATATTAACTCATATATCACTTCTTGTTGTTTTTATTTCCCGTTTTGAATAAAATTACTTGTCAAATGAAGCTAGCTTAGCCATCTGTTCACGCCTAACTGTTATGCTATATCACTGCAACAAAATATACTTTTAACTGTTATGTATATATATGGAGTAACTAATTCAACGATTGACTATAGTCCTCTCGACGTATGTATAACAATTGAGACACATTCGGTTAAATATTTATCCTTAATAAAATAATTTATGACCACACTAATATTTAATACTAATTATTTTAGATTATAAGTTTCAAAAGTTTTTTTTTTTAAACATCGTGTCAAATCAAACACAGCCTTCAGGCTTCAACTACTACGTGTCTAACCAAATCACTACAATTTATGCATTTATGAACTTATGCCTATATATCCACTTGCACCCATATCTACGTAAACATAACCTTCAGGCTTCAACCACTACCACTTATTTTTAGACTTAAAAGTCTTCGGTCAATATACATCATTAAATTAGAAAATTGACTTTGTCAAAATAAGAAAATTTGTCTTTGCATTGTTATTAAGAAACTTGTTCATTTTTCCCTCTATAAAAGAAGACCAAATCATTAGAACCAACATATAAAATTCATCAACATATTAAAAAAAATATATAGTAGAACAATAATTGTGTGATGGAAGAAGTGAAGTTGCTTGGTCTATGGTATAGTCCTTTTTGTCACAGAGTTGAGTGGGCTTTAAAAATTAAGGGTGTGAAATGTGAATTTATTGAAGAAAATTTACAAAATAAGAGTCCCCTACTTCTTGAATCAAACCCAATTCACAAGAAAATTCCAGTGTTAATTCACAATGGAAAGTCCATTTGTGAGTCAATGGTGATTGTTGAATACATTGATGAGACATTTGAAGGCCCTTCTATCTTGCCTAAAGACCCTTATGATCGTGCTATAGCTCGTTTTTGGGTTAAGTTTTTCGAAGATAAGGTATATTCTTTTTACTTCATCCATCCATCTTTACTTGTTCAGTGTACTATTTTAGAATGTCCAATAATATTTGTTCAGTTTATAAAATCAATGAATATTTTATCATGTTGTGTTTATTTTACCTTTATTGTATTTATTTTTAATGTTTAGATGACTTATATTTAATAAGGGTGCTACTTCTTAATTCATTTGCCAAGTCAATAATAGATAACTATCGTTAAACAGAGGAGTATTGAGTATTATTTTGCAGGGGTCAGCAGTGGGGACAAGTTTCTTTCACAAATCAGAGAAAGCTAAAGAGGAAGTTTGTGAGATGTTGAAAATTCTTGATAATGAGTTAAAGGATAAGAAGTTTTTTGTTGGTGACAAATTTGGATATGCTGATATTGCTGCTAATTTTCTTGCACTTTGGATGGGAATTCTTGAATAAGCAACTGGAATTATTTTGGTAACAAAAGAAAAATACCCAAATTTTTATGCTTGGAGAGATGAATACATTAATGGGAACAAAGAATATTTACCTTCAAGAGATGAGTTGCTTGCTTTTTTCAAAGCTCGCTTTCAAGCTGCTGCAACACCTCCTTATTCGAATTGATTTCTCGTATGATCACTTGATTAATCGTTATAACAAAGAAAGTTATTTTGCTTTATCCAAGAACATTGATTTTCTGGAATAATAACTAGTTAGTTAAGTATTTGAGAAATCAATCCTATTTATTCATCTTTGAAAATTCAAAATTTTGTGTGGCAATAAAAGTTGGGGTGAATTTAGAGAGTGTTTTGTGGGTTCAAATAGATTATAAGTATTAGTTCGAACTATGCATAAAAAAAAAAATCAAACTATTTGCATATCGATTTTATAATTTTAAACTCTATTACTCTAAATTTGACTAAAATTTACTTTGTCAAAAAAGGGCATCTTAGCTATTCACATTGTACCAGGAATTAGGATGAATATGATACGATAGATATTGGATAATATATTAATATTTGGAATTTTTTATATCACGACTTTGATATTATTGTATTTAGTAGACATTTTAAAAAAAATTGGTATTTGGTAGGGTGTTTGATATTATTTATAAAAGAAATTATCAAAATACTAAATATCATATCAAAGTGTATAATTATGTATATATATAATTCATATGTGTTATTATAATACTTCCTCCATTTCATAATAATTAAATTGTTGGGTGTTTTATACCCTTTTAAAAAAAGATTAAGACATAAATTAGACATTACTTTCCATTTTTGCTCTTATTAATTCTTGTCAAATTAATCTTTAGAATAATTTAAAAAACAATTAAAGTTTCCTGAACTTATCACATAGAATATTCAAATGAAATAATTAAATTAATTTAAAATATAAAAGATGTCTCAACAATTCATATTTTAAAACGAAAGCAATACTAAACAAATATATATTTAATACAAAATTTATTGTTTGGACATTTGAAAATTTGACTATTCTATTTCTATTCGAAAGTTTCAACTCTTTTACCGGTGGGTCAGTAATTGCATATTAATTAATCATAGCAAGCCACGAGATTTGACCAAAAAGTGGGTGACATTAGCACATAAGTCATCTTTGTTAGTATTGTATTGCTCACTCCTAAAAGAACTAGTGATAAAAAAAAAAGTTCAACCTAAGAACAACATGAAACACATGAAATGACGGATTTAAGATTTTCACTAATGGGTTTGAAAATCTGAACCCATCAATCATTAAGTTAGTCTCTAATCTTTTGTTTCAGGAGGTTCATATTCTACATATATATATATAACAAATTAAAGAATAACTTATTTATATATTGTATATATTTTTATGAAGTTCGAGTGAACCCCTCGCTACCCTCTAGATCCACCCCGAGAACATCATCAACACATTTCCACGTAATAAGGCACTTGTCACGCCCCGAGCCTACACCCTGGGCGGGACTGGCACCCGGAGACCATTTCTGTCCCCAAGCGAACCCTTGGCTTGGCTTTCTTAACTCAGAAACCTAACCCAACAGAATAACTTCATGCAATGCAATATTACGAAACAACTTAACTTATAAAATATGGCCATAAAGGCAACTCGAATCTCAAAATAGAATATTTACATATATACATAGATGAGAGACTCAAAACTAACTGACTGACTGTCTGTCTATGAAGCCTCTAAAATACTGAGATGGATGTTGGGACAGACCCCGCAACATCCTAATAAAACAAAAACTAAGAACATAAAATAATTAAGTCCTCCAGAATGCAAAGAGGCTCACCACTGACTCTGGAGTGCTCAGCTGGATCAACGACGTGTAGGATGCTGATCCGGGGTACCTGTATCTGCATCATAAGACGATGCAGGCCAACTGACATCAGTACATGGAATGTACGAGTATGCGAGCTGGAAAACTAAGCAACATAGGCTAGAAGGAAATTTGGACGAAACTAAAAAGTTTACCTTGCTCAATTCAACTCCACCTGACTGACTTCTTTTAATATAAGGCAATTTAAAACAAGTGCGATATAAAGAAAGACTGTTTAAAACATGCTATAAACTCTGTGTGTATATAAGGATACAACAAGCCTGAGATATATATAGAAATACAATTGAACTGATGTATATAAAATACAATACTTTCTGTGTATAAAAATACAATAACTGTTGTGGGAGTTTCTCTAATCGACAACCATCACATAAGAGCTATAGTGATGATACAACGATCGACCTCACGCTGCCAGAGCATCTTATACCCGGCTAAAGGTATAAGACCTGAACTGCCTAATGGATCCACTAGTCTAATATGAAAAAGATTCATCTAAAAAGTATGATTCTTTTCTACCCATGGTGCTGCCAGAGCATGTTATACCCGGCCAAAGGTATAAGACCTGAACTGCCTAATGGATCCACTAGTCTAATATGAAAAGGATTCATCTAAAAAGTATGATTTTTTTCTATCCATGGTGGCTAACATGGTTCTATGGGGGCTGTGGGTTCTTTGAACGCTCTCCCAATTCGGTGCTCGATACTACTCCCAAAAATGTACTGGCTCTTATGTTTTTAAAACATATGTCTTCCTGCTGATTGAGATAATTACTCAAAAAAAAACTATCCCGAAGGCTCTTTGGAAATCTCAGTTTCCAACCTTGTTTAAATGTAAAGACATTTCTTTAAAACTTCTTTGGGAATACATAGTTCCCTAATAACTTTGAGAAATGAACTCAACTTTAAACTCTTTACTTTACTTGAACTCTTGGCTTGATGTGAAACTCTTTAACTTAACATGAAACTCTTAACTTTTGACTTGACTTGAAACTCGAGTCTTAAGAAATGAAGCTAAAACATTCACTAAAGACTTTTGAACAACTTTGAAAACTTGCTTTGACTTACTTCATTTCTAAGCTTAACTCTTAACTTCACCTGACTTCTAACTTTACTTGACTTGGAACTAACTCTCCTTGAATTAGATTATGAATTCAAGGGTAATGATTTGTGTTTGGAAGGACCCCATGATGATTAGGAATAATTTAGGATAGCTAAACTTAAGAAGAATTTCAAAATTAAATTCTGAAAATAGAGCAGATATTGTTCACAGAGGGAACACAGCCGCGACGCAGACTTGTTTCCTGAAAGCAGCCTGACTTCTCTCCTTCATGTTGCCAACTCTAACCCTCTTAACTTCAAAGGTTCTTTTCCCAAACACTTGGGGTCATAAACCCCTCAACATACAATGGATTTCACTCAAAAACACAACCAAATCCTGTCCCAAATCAACAAGAACTTCAACAACTTCAACAACCAAAATAAATCTTTTCTTGGAATTAAAAACGAGTTGGTGTGTGGGGGTATGAACCAACCAACACTAAGGATCATAAAATCCCTCAACATACAAGAGATTCAACTCAAAAACACAACCAAATCATGTTCCAAATCAACAAGGGACTTCAACAACACAATTAACAATATCAACAACACAACCAACAACTCCAAACAACACAACCAATATTTTCTCAATAATAAAACGAGTTTGATGTGTGGGGGAAAGAATCAACCCATCACTATGAAGTCACATACCTATTAGGGATCACCCCCGACGATTTCCACGACGATCTTTGACGGAAACTCCTTGATCTCTTCTTCTTCTCTTCTTTCTCTCTTCTTCACTCAAGAACCCTAACTCTTACTTTTTTAAAATGGAACAAAAATGATCCACAATCAGCCTAACACAACAATATATCCTCAAAAGAAATGATTTGTGAATAGACCAAAATGCCCGTAAATTTCCGGACGGACTCCCTGCCAACTGTCCAACTTTCAAAGGGCATAACTCGCTCATACGAACTCAGAATCGATCAAACTCGGTGGCGTTGGAAAGATCGTTCCAAGGGCTTTCCAAAAATAATTGGAACTACTCCTGGCTCATTCTGAGCTAGGAGTTATGACTGCTCAAACTTGGCCAAAAACTCACTGATTTCCACACTTGGCCAAATTTCCAGATTTTGAATTTAGCCAAATTTCCAGATTCTGAACTTAGCCAAATTTCCAAAAATGACTACTTCCAATTTCAAGCTTCTTCATATTCATTTTAAATTGTCGGATGTTACAATATCTCCCCCTTGGGAACATTCGTCCTCGAATGAGGTTACTCTTACAAAACTAAGGGTGTAACATCAATTCAAACACCCAACAAGAAATCATGCAAATACAACAACAACAACATGCCCATTAAAATTTTAAAGAGCACTAAGAAGGAAATTAATACCTCAATCTGCATTTCCTCCGGATTCAAAGAGATGTGGATATTTTTTCTTCATGTCCTCTTCGGCTTCCCAAGTTGCTTTCTCAACAAATTGGTTCCTCCATAGGACCTTGACTGAGGCTACATCTTTCGTTCTCAACCTACGAACTTGACGATCCAAAATTTGAATAGGAACCTCCTCATAAGATAAGTTATCCTTGATCTTAATACTTGCAGTCGGTAGGATCAATGAAGGATCGCCTATGCACTTCTTCAACATGGAGATGTGAAATACCGGATGAACCGCTGCTAGTTCCTATGGTAACTCCAACTCATAAGCAACATTGCCAATCCTCTTGGCTATGCGGTAAGGTCCAATATACCGGGGACTAAGTTTCCCCTTCTTACCAAACCTCATAACGCCTTTCATGGGTGAAACCTTCAAATATACCCAATCGTTTATTTCAAATTCTAACGCCCTTCTCCTAACATTGGTGTAGGATTTCTGACGACTCTGTGCCGTTTTCAACCTCTCTTGAATCACTTTCACCTTCTCCATAGCTTGGTGAACTAAATCTAGTCCTATCAACTGTGCTTCACCAACTTCAAACCATCCAATAGGAGATCTACATCTTCTCCCATAAAGAGCTTCATATGGAGCCATCTGGATGCTAGCGTGATAACTATTGTTGTAGGCAAACTCAATGAGAGGTAGGTGATCATCCCAACTCCCTTTGAAATCGATTACACAAGCCCTCAACATATCCTCTAAGGTCTGAATAGTGCGCTCTGCTTGCCCATCAGTCTGAGGGTGAAATGCAGTACTTAAGTTCACCTTTGAACCCAAGCCTCTCTGAAAAGATTTCCAGAACTGTGCAATAAACTGTGCACCTCTATTTGAAATAATAGAGATTAGGACTCCATGAAGTCTCACTATCTCTTGAACATACAACTTGGCATAATCTTCTGCTGTATTGGTAGTCTTTACTGGTAGAAAATGCGCTGACTTTGTCATTCGGTCGACAATTACCCAAATAGAATCATGCTGCCTACGAAACCTTGGCAACCCTGTGATGAAGTTCGAGTGAACCCCTCGCTACCCTCTAGATCCACCTCGAGAACATCATCAACACATTTCCACGTAATAAGGCACTATAGACATCATTATACACAAAAAGCAACACACTACAATGTTCTTGAACCCCATAAACCATTATCTCCATCCAACACCCAAAAAAGAAAAGAAAAAAGTTTGCTTATGGTATTTTTTTACTTTACAGCCCAATGTTCTTCATTTCTTTTTTAAAATAAGAAATAAGCAGTGTGTTTATTAACTTATCTTAATTAATCTTTTAAGAAAGAATTAGCTTTTTAATAATTTTTTAGTTATATAAAACCTTATAACAATAATAACAACATATTTAGTCTACATAATTCTATAAAGTAATATCTGAAAGATAGGATGTACACGTACCTTTTCTTTACTTATAAGTTATATACGTATTAGAGTAAACAAATTGTTTCTAATAGACCATCGACTTAAAAAAAAAAATCAAACCAGATTGAATTTTTCTATATATAAAACTCTTATTTTTTCTAAATAAGAACAAAATTGAAAGAAGAAAATGTCTTCTTCATTGTGTGAAAGACCATATTAAACTAAAAACACAGTTGTAGATTATTTTTCTTAAAATTTAGTTTACTAACAAAAAAAGTAAATATGCACTATTGCATTAGATAACGAGAATATATATATATGCACCATTTGTTAAACGGATAGAATAAATATGATTACTCTTTTAACAAGTGGCATGCCATTCTAAATCGCAAGATTAAAGAGATATATTCTCTCTTTTTCTTCTTAATTTATTTCAAGTGCCATGAATGTGAAAGCATAATTAGATTACTAAACAAAATAGTCAAAAAGGAAACATTAATTTATTTGGTAGATTGCTAAGAACTTCCCTGTTTTTCCCTCTATAAAAGAATTTACCTCAAGGGAGAAGAAAACAACATAAAAATTCCTTCAATTAGTAAAGCAAAAGCATAGTTAACTAAAGTTGAGAGATGGCAGATGTTAAGTTGCTTGGTTTATGGTATAGCCCTTTTAGTCATAGAGTTGAATGGGCTCTAAAGATTAAGGGAGTGAAATATGAATTTATAGAAGAAGATTTACAAAATAAGAGTCCTCTACTTCTTGAATCCAATCCAATTCACAAGAAAATTCCTGTGCTTATTCATAATGGCAAGCCCATTTGTGAGTCAATTGTCATTCTTGAATACATTGATGAGGCATTTGAAGGTCCTTCCATCTTGCCTAAAGACCCTTATGATCGAGCTTTAGCTCGATTTTGGGTAAAGTTTTTTGAAGATAAGGTATATTTTTTTCTCATGGTATATAAGTCTATTAATTGGAAATACTTTTGAGTCACATAAGTGGAGACATTTACTTTAGGTATTAACTCGTCTTAATTGTGTCAATTGGATAGTACTCCAACCTATAATATGATCATCTAGATACCTTTAAAAATTATGTGTCAACGAGACATATTAGTGGGGAAGAGTTGGAGTGTTTAACTATCAGTTGAGACTAAATTAATATGTCTTGAGACTAAATTAAATAATTAATATGTCTGGATATATATTTTTCAAAGTTAAAGTGCTTACTTACCAGTCGAAACTAAATTTGAATGTTTTGTTTATGTATTATGCCCTATTATAAAATTGAACTAAATGAAGTAATATAACTTCATTTAGTCAACAACAACTAATGTACTTTTATTGTTATTGACTATTGTATATATTCCTATTTTTAAAATTGAGTGTACATTATTATTGTTATGTAGGGTCCAACAATGAGGAAAAGTATTTTTCTCAAAGGAGAGGAGCAAGAGAAAGCTAAAGAGGAAGTTTTTGAGATGTTGAGAATTCTTGATAATGAGCTCAAAGACAAGAAGTACTTTGTTGGTGACAAATTTGGATTTGTTGATATTGTTGCAAATGTTGGGGCACTTTGGCTGGGAGTTCTTGAAGAAGTATCTGGAGTTGTTTTAGTGACAAGTGAAAAATTTCCAAATTTTTGTGCTTGGAGAGATGAATATTGCACACAAAACAAGGAATATTTACCTTCAAGAGATGAATTACTTGTTCGTTACCAAGCCTATATTCAGCCTGTTATTGCTTCAAAATGAGTACAACTCAAGTGAATTTCAAGATTTTGTGTGACAATAAAAGTTAGATATGGATTTATGATCAGCTTTTGTTAATTTAATTGAAGGTTGATTTTGAATTGAACTAGTGGCATTTAACAAAAAAATGCATGTTATAAGATTTATCTTTATTTCATTTAATTAGTTAATTTAAATCTTGGATTCACTTATGAATAAAAGTATTTGTTTAAGTAAGTTAGCAAGAAATTTAAAAGAGTAAAATGTCAGCATCTAGACCCTATCCCAAATGTCAGCCTCGAATTTCCACGAAACACTACAGTCTACAAGGATGCAAGTTTGAAGTGTTTAGTTGTTTGTTAATACCAAGTTAAGATGTTTAGATATGCATTGTTAAAATTGAAGAATTTACTTGCCAGCTATGACCAAGTTTGAGTGTACATTTAAGTATCATCTCAACTGAAAAAATAATAATAATCTCAATCATAAAATGAATTTGGATCGTCGGGAGAGATTAAAATTAAAGATGGATAAGATATTTTTTTAAAACCACGTAGCATTTTTGAGATTAAACAAAATAGTTTTAGATTACTTTTTTGAAATTAAGTTTGTTAAGAAAAAATTCAATATGCATGATTTGTTAGATGACAAGGATATATATATATACACTATTTATTTATTGCGGAGGATTATGTGCTCACTAAATCGCAAGGTTAAAAAATATATTTGTCATTTTCCCCTTTTATTTAAGTGTCCATGTGGAGGTTGGAGGAATAATTAGATTACAAAATTAAATAGTCAAACAAGAAACATTAATGCATTTAATTTGGTGAATTGCTAAGAAACTTCCCTCTATAAAAGAAGACTACACCTCAAGCCTCAAGGAAGATCACATCCACATAAAATTAATTCCATCAATTTTAGTAAAGCAAAAACACAATTAACCAAAGTTGAGATATGGCAGATGTTAAGTTGCTTGGTTTATGGTATAGCCCTTTTAGTAAAAGAGTTGAATGGGCTCTAAAGATTAAGGGAATAGAATATGAATATATGGAAGATGATCTACAAAATAAGAGCCTTTTACTTCTTCAATCCAATCCAATTCACAAGAAAGTTCCTGTGCTCATTCATAATGACAAGTCCATTTGTGAGTCAAGTGTGATTGTTGAATACATTGATGAGACATTTGAAGGCCCTTCCATCTTGCCTAAAGACCCTTATGATCGAGCTTTAGCTCGTTTTTGGGCTAAATTCTTCGAAGATAAGGTATATTGCCTTCAACTTGTAAATAAGCACTTCAACTAAATATAGACACCTTAACTCGTCTCTATTATGTTAATTGAACTTGCTAACTTATAATATGATCATGATTAGACACCTTCAAAATTTATGTGTCATGTCAGTATAGGGTATAAGAGACGCATTAATGGGGAAGAGTTGAAGTATTTAGTTGTCTATACATTTCAAAGTTAAAGTGCTTATTATCAGATACAATAAAGTTTGAATGTATGTTTATGTATTACTTTTTAAAATCGGACTAAGATGAACATAAATTAAGTAATAAAATATCATATAGTCAACTAATGTACTTCTATTGTTGTATATTCCTATCTTTAATTATACAAAAAAATTTTGTTGAAATTTAAGTTCCAATTGTTATGTAGGGGCCATCAATGATGAAAAGTTTATTTCTCAAAGGAGAGGAGCAAGAGAAAGCTAAAGAGGAAGTTTATGAGATGTTGAAAATTCTTGATAATGAGTTAAAGGACAAGAAGTTCTTTGTTGGTGACAAATTTGGATTTGTTGATATTGTTGCAAATGCTGCAGCACTTTGGTTTGGAGTTCTTGAAGAAGTAACTGGGGTTGTTTTGGTGACAAAAGAAAAATTCCCAAATTTTTGTGCTTGGAGAGATGAATACTACATTCAAAACAAGGAATATTTACCTCCAAGAGATGAATTGTTTGCCCATTACCAAGCTTACATTCAACGTGTTGCTGCTTCAAAATAAGGGTCTTTACAAAATTTAAAAAATATAAAGAAGAATTTTGAATTTTATAATTAAAGCCGTCAGAAAGGACTTGACCTTTGAAGCCTGCCCAATTAAATATGAGAAAATTAAAAATTTTAGTGCACTCATTTGTAAAAAAAAAATAAAAAAATTACTTATGCAGTTTTTGAATATTCTTTGTGAAATTTTTGACTCCGCTACTGCACTTCTCCCCTGATCTTCCTCTTGTTTTCAATTATTAATTCTATATTCATGACACCATGTGATGTTTCTCTGGGTAGCCATATAAATAAAGATATTGAAAATCATGTTGTTTCTCTCTGGTCTATTTACTCTTCTTGTCTACTTTATTGTATTTCATATTGTTAATTTTTGGCTTCATTTTATAGCATACTATTAGCACGAAACTTTAAATTATATCGAGTTAAATTAATTTTGCTTATCCACGTAAAAGACAAGATATGTAATCGGCATGTACAATTATGTTTTAGTTAGGCATAATACATAAATATTTTCTTTAATTTGACCTCATTTTATATTGGCATAATACATAAATTGACCCTTCAACTAGGCTTCATCTGTCATATATGCCTTCAAACTTTGAATGTGCACAAGTAGACACTTAAACTTGTATAAAATTGAACAAATAGACATATTAGTTTAACGTGGTGTCCTACATGGCAATTTTGTCTTTTACGTGGTGTCCTACGTTTATTATGTTATGTAGAACGCATGTGTTTGCTTGTTCAATTTTATACAAGTTTAAGTGTCTACTTATACACACCCAAAGTTGGAGGATATTGATGCCAACTGAAATTAAGTTAAATGACATATTTATGTATTATACCTTTTATATTTATGTCCTTTTATTTTGGGTGCGTACAACGTGTAGGTTATCAAATCTGGCATGCTTAGTTTTACTTTTCAAATTGAAATTTGATATTAGAATTTAATTCAGGAAGAATTTTGGAGGTTCAACTAAATTATTTGTATTGGTTCGAAATTTACTTACTTTAAAATTTGAATTTCCGTTCGAATAAAATTATTTGTCAGAGAAAAGTATTTTAGCTATTCACATGCTAAGAAGTTTCACCTTTGGTGGGTCAGTGACTGTATATTATTTAATTAATATATATCAATTTTCTCATTAAATTGAAAATGAAAGCTAAAATTAATAGGTGACTCGGAATATTAAAAACTCCCTTCATTTTAATTTATTGTCATTTTTGGCTTATCCAAAATCTCACCATTTAAAAAGTTTTAAATTTTTGTGTTTTTTTAAAAATTAAAAATATGTCAAATATATTAAAATATATCCTTTAACTTTATACTAAAAAAACATGTCAAGTGAATATATGAACTAAAAAATTATCAAAAATACAAAGAAATATCTTTTTTAAAATAAATTAAAAATAAAAATAGGACAAATAAATTAAAATACAAGTATCATTGATTTTTCTAGCCACCAGATTTGACCAAAAGGTGGGTGACATGAGCACATCAGTCATCTTTAATATTTTAAATATTACTCACTCCTAAAAAATAGGGAAGATGTTGCTTTCCTCTTTTCTGTCCATTTTTTTTTTTATCCTTAATTACTTGTTTATTTTGATAAATAAAAAAAGAATAATTTTTTTCTCTATTATATCCTCAATTTATTATTTTAAAAATTTTAAAATTTTAATTCATTCACTTCATAATTAATAGAGGTAAAATAGTAAACTCGTTATATCAATTATTGTTTTCTTAATTGGTGTGCCACTTCAAAAGTGAATAAATAATTAGGGATAGATGGAATAGTAGTTTATTCAAACAAGTGTCTAGTTAGTCAAGTATAATTTTTAATATTAGAAAAATTGAATAGTCAAACAAGAAACTTTAATGTATCCTTATTTTTTCCTCTATAAAAAAAAGACTAGACACCAAGGGAGACCAACCACACATAATTAAGCAAAAAAAAAATTGAGAACCAAAGTTGTAAGATGGCAGAAGTGAAGTTGCTTGGTCTAAGGTATAGTCCTTTTAGCCATAGAGTTGAATGGGCTCTAAAAATTAAGGGAGTGAAATATGAATTTATAGAAGAAGATTTACAAAATAAGAGCCCTTTACTTCTTCAATCAAATCCAATTCACAAGAAAATTCCAGTGTTAATTCACAATGGCAAGTGCATTTGTGAGTCTATGGTCATTCTTGAATACATTGATGAGGCATTTGAAGGCCCTTCCATTTTGCCTAAAGACCCTTACGATCGCGCTTTAGCGCGATTTTGGGCTAAATACGTCGAAGATAAGGTATATTGCTTTTAAGTTATTTCGATCGATTGAAAATTTTGTTTTAGTTACATTATTACATATACTTTAGGTCTTATGCTTTTTAATAATCTTTTATAAAATTCGACTAAGACGAACTTCTCATATAGTCAACAATACTAGCATATTTGGGATTGACTAATGTACATGGGGTCGTCTAGTAGTTGGTTAGGAAACAAGTTACGTGGGTATTAAATTCTGGATAAGTAATGAATACCATATTTGATAGCTGATTTGGAGGTAAATTATTCATGTATAAAATTAATATGATATTTGATTTGCAATAACTAATACATAACTATTTTATATACATAGATTCCATCATAACTAATTGATATATTATTAATATATGTATAACTCTAACCAACTATCGAAACGAGTCAACGACCCTTATTAAGTTTTGTTTGTTGGGCAGGGGGCAGCAGTGTGGAAAAGTTTCTTTTCGAAAGGAGAGGAACAAGAGAAAGCTAAAGAGGAAGCTTATGAGATGTTGAAAATTCTTGATAATGAGTTCAAGGACAAGAAGTTTTTTGTTGGTGACAAATATGGATTTGCTGATATTGTTGCAAATGGTGCAGCACTTTATTTGGGAATTCTTGAAGAAGTATCTGGAGTTGTTTTGGTAACAAGTGAAAAATTTCCAAATTTTTGTGCTTGGAGAGATGAATATTGCACACAAAACAAGGAATATTTTCCTTTAAGAGATGAATTGCTTGTTCGTTACCGAGCCTACATTCAGCCTGTTGCTGCTTCAAAATGAGTACATCTCGAGTGAATTTCAAGATATTGTGTGGGAATAAAAACTGAGTTTTTGTGTGTTCAATTGAAATATATTAAAGTTGCATGTAATAAGATTTATCTTTATTTCACTAGTTAATATAAATTTTGGATTCACGTATGAGTAAAAAAATTGTCAAGAGAAAGTAAGCTTAATGCGCTATTTTGTCTGATTTAAATTATTTATCTTTATTTTAACTTCACACAAAAATTTGAAAAGATAATAATTTAATTTTATAATTAAAACCGTCGAAAAAAAAGACTAGATCCTTGAGGCTCTATCCACACCATTAATTGAGTAGAATTCGATCAAGATTTACCCAATCTATGATTATAAGCCCAGTCTTAGTTAACCTGCCACCCTTGTGGCTTGTGTGAGACTGGGTCGAGGCCGGCCGTGGGCCAAAAGAATTTAAAATGAGGGAAATTAAGTAAGTACTCAATAAAAAATAAAAAAATAAAAAAATAAAAAAATAAAAAAATAAAAAATCCATATATAGTGTGTGTATAATACAGGGATATATATATATATATATATATATGCATTAATTTTATGAAATGATAAATATTAAGAAGCTCATCTATTTTTAATAACAACGGCATATAAATAGGAATGACGGGAGTAATAAATAATGCATATTTATCATTTTCATCAAAAAACTGAATTAATAAAACTAATCTAAATTAATGATTACTTCATGTTTATTGGTCAATTAAATCAATCAAAATAAATTAATTTATGTTCATTTATTAAAAAATTGACTATAAGAGAACACTAAATAAGAATACATAATAAACTTAATTTCTTAAGAGATGTGAAAATTAAAATGGTGACATACAAATAACAACGGTGAGAGTAGATGACGAGTATTGTGTAAAATGGTGACTTATATATGTGCCATTTGTTAAACAAAACATATATATAAGTGTCAAAACAAAATACTTTGGAAACATCAATGCATTTGCTGGATTTTGCTAAGAAACTTCCTTGTTTCTTCCCTATATAAAAGAAGGCACTAGACCTCAAGGGGAGATCACAACCACATACAAATTCACTCAATTAGTAAAGCAAAAACATAGTTAGCCAAATTTGAGAGATGGCTAATGGCAAGCCCCTTTGTGAGTCAAGTGTGATTCTCGAATACATCGATGAGACATTTGAAGGCCCTTCCATCTTACCTAAAGACCCTTATGATCGAGCTTTAGCTCATTTCTAGGCTAAATTCTTCGAAGATAAGGTATATTGCCTTCATGATATATTAACTTTATTAGGTCTTGTATATGCTTTTTATAATTATATGTAACTAAACAGAGTACACACATCTAGACATCTTATCTCGTCTTTGTGTCAATTATATTGAACATTCCAACTTATAATATGATCATTTTGACAACTTCAAAATTTTGTGTGGCAATAAAAATTAGAGATGGATTTAGGGTGAGTTTTTGTTTAATTCAATTGAAAATGGTTTTCGGCTGAACAAGGGATAAGAAAAATAAAATGCATGTTATAATTAGATCTGTCTTTAATTATTTCGGTTAATATAAATAAATCTTGGGTTCACGTATGAATAAAAGTAGGGAAAATTACGCGGTTAAGCAAACTTATACTACTTAATTACTCATCATAGCTATAGTTTGTTATAATTACCACTCGCTACTAACATTATACATTAATTACGTGGGCTGACTTCGAGTTTTATAATTAGCCACGATTGTATACGTATAATTCGCTAGAATATACAAATACATATGTATTATATACAATTATCTAACCGATATACATACAATTCACCTATCTCCCACTCTTTGCCCTCTCTCGCTCGCCTCTCTCCTTTCTCTCCCAGTCAAGCTCGCCTCTCTTCTTCCTATGACATGTAGCTACGAATTGTAATTATCAAATTATAGATATGGAGAGTAATTAGGTTATTTTTAAGTGATTATGTGAAAGTTCCTCAAAAAAGTGTTGTTAGAAAATTTAGTAAGGTCATGAATTGTCTTTTATTGCTGATTTTTAAAAAAAAAAGAAAAAAATTGGAATAGGAATTAGAAAGTACGATAGAACCGTTACTAATAATATAAAATTTTAAATAGTTAATCAATTAAGCTAGTATTAAGATTTTTAATTCAATTTGGGTGGTTGGTACAGTAATTGTACAACAATTAATTAATTTTCTCATCGATTTGGAAAGAACAAGAACTGACTTGTGACTCATAATGGCTAATGTGAAAGCATTTTTATATTGGCCTTCTATATTTTTAGGTAGTTGAATATAATCATATATTACTTTGTCTTATTTTCATTTGATATAAGAATTTTAAAAGTAAAATATTTTTAAAAAAAATTGCAATTTTAAATTAAATTAAAAATATATCATCTATATCATAATATTTTAATTTTATAGACTTAAATATATTATGTAAAATTAGAATTAAAAAGTCCCCACAGGGGCATCGGCTAAAAAATTAGAACTAAAAAATTATTTTTTTTTAAAAAAAAGATAATTTTTTCTCGACGAATATTTTTAAAAATAAAAAATAAGTTGAAATGGAGTAAGACATTTTGAAGAAGAAGAAGGGGTGACCAGAGGTGAAGCGAGGATTAAGAGTTTGTGGGTTCTAAATTTCGTCAATCAACTTTGTTAGGGGTTCACAAATTAATATACATAAATATTTAATTAATTTTCTAGTACAAATATAGGATCTACAAAAAAGCTACTGGCTTCGTCTGAACCCATGAACCCCTACCTAGCTCCGCCTCTGGAGTGATGTGAGCACATATGTCACCTAGAGAAAAAGTAGATAATATTGATGTGGAGCAAACCAACATGAAGAAAAAGTTGAGGCAAAACTTAGAATCAAATTCAAGATTTAAATTATATAAATTTTTAATAATCTTAAATTTAAAATGAAAAACATTTTTATATTTATTCAAAAAAATCAAACTCCGATATAAAAAGACAACTAAGCAAAAATATATACTTGAGCTAAATGATGATTAAAATCATCCATTTTAATAAAAGACTATTTCGAGAGTTAAAAAGACACATTGGACCTTTTTCCTATATTAGAAATATTCCTCCACGGAAAAAGATATCCAAGAAATCAATAATTGAACCCCAAAATTTAATCCAAACTGACTATGGCACCAATTTAATGAATAGAACTTTAAATTACAACCTCATAAGTATTTAATATTTCCTCACCCTAGTAAATATCATATTCATTACGAAATTAATAAATATAATATCTATATTTTATTACATAATTTTTGAAAACACACTACTAACAAGATGAGTAGTTAGAAAAAACATAGAAGTAATAATTTTATGTCTTGAATGCTAAGATGACGTTTATTTCGAGATAATATTTTTTTTTTCCAAAGATATAGTAGCACTTATCTTCACATAGAGGAAATACCAATAATAATTTTCTAAGTCTTTAGTCAACATGGAAACATTACTAAATTACAAAACTAAGCTGTCAAAGAAAAATCAACATTATTACATTTGGTGTATTGCTAGAAATTCCCCGTTATCAACAGGGGTTTGTGGAGTTGTGGTGCAGTGATGGAACTGTTTCATCCTTAATCAAAAGTTTTGGGTTTGAGTTCTGGGTATGAAAAAAATTCTGAAATGGGTCTTGCACAGGGGCGGAGGCAGAATGTACGAACCCCCTCGGTGGAAAATATTACTATTTATATATGGTTAAAATTAATTTTTAGGTATGTAAAATAGATGTCGAACCCCCTTCCACTAGTTTGTGTGTTTACTTCTCAGATTTTGAACCCCCTTATTAGAAATCTTCGCTCCGCCACTGATTCTGCAGAGCTCAATCCAAATTTAGTCGGAGCTCCAATGTGGACTCCGGACACCGAGTGAAAAAAAAAAAAAAAAAAAAACTTCCCTGCTTTTACCTCTATAAAACAAGGATACACCTCAAGAGAGAACAACCACATAACAATTCCCTCAAATATTATAGTAAAGATAAAAAAAAAGTTAACCAAAGTTGAGAGATGGTAGATGTTAAGTTACTTGGTCTATGGTATAGCCCTTTTAGTCATAGAGTTGAATGGGCTCTCAAGATTAAGGGTGTGGAATATGAATATATAGAAGATGATCTACATAATAAGAGCTCTCTACTTCTTGAATCCAATCCAATTCACAAAAAAGTTCCAGTACTAATTCACAATGGCAAGCCACTTTGTGAGTCAATGGTAATTGTTGAATATATTGATGAGACATTTGAAGGCCCTTCCATCTTGCCTAAAGACCCTTATGATCGAGCTATTGCTCGTTTTTGGGTTAAGTTCCTTGAAGATCAGGTATGTTTACTTTATTTACGTGTCATATTTTACAAGAATACTTTTATCTTATCGTAAATGTGTATGCCAATAAAAAATATTGAGAATTACTAGTACTTTCAAGCATAAATATTTATATAACAGAGATTCATATAGTCGATCCTACTTTGTTGAACAGGTTGCAGCCGCGGGGAAAAGTATCTTTCTGAAAGGAGAGGAACAAGAGAAAGAAAAAAAGGAAGCTTGTGAGATGTTGAAAATTCTTGAAAATGAGCTCAAGGACAAGAAGTACTTTGTTGGTGACAAATTTGGATTTGCTGATATTGCTGCAAATGTATTGGCAATTTGGCTTGGAGTTTTTGAAGAAGCCTCTGGAGTGCCATTGGTTACAAGTGAAAATTTTCCAAATTTATATGCTTGGAGAAATGAATATTGCGATCAAAATAAGGAATATTTACCTTTCAGAGATGAATTGCTTGCCCATTACCAAGCTCTATTTCCAGCTAAAGCAAAATGAATACCTTTATAGTGAATTTCAAGATTAGTGTGGCAATAAAAATGTGAGATGGATTGAATAAAAGTGAGTTCAATTGGTATGGTGTAAAAAAATAATGTTGAATATGATGTGTTAATAATTTGATATTAGTAATGATGGTATTAGTGATGTTTGTGTTAGTTATATTAGGATTATGTTTTATCCAATGTTTGATTTGGTGTATTAAAAATAATATAAATTGCATAATTTTTAAAAATATTATTTGTTTACAAAAATAGCCTCCACAAATACAATGGAAAAGATGCAGAATAGGTTTTGATAAACAATTTTGTCTTTAATTAGCATGCATTACCTTTGTTAATACCATAATTCTCCATGTATTAATAAAGTGTGTGTATGTATATGTAGAGAGAAAGCGCACTAGAGAGAAAGAGAGAGATTGAAAAAGTGTACCAAATAGAATATTATTAATATATAAAGCTAATTCATGCATTATTTTTTCTAATATGTCCAATCAAACAATTCGAAGTGTCTTTTATTAGAGTAAACAACTCAAATTTCACTACTTTGGGAACTATTTACTTCCCTTCACGTTAGTTTTCAATACTATGTTTCTTACCATATTTCGTGGGTTGGATACATGTATCTAGCTCTTCGAGATACATAATTACGTGTATATAAATATGGAATGTAACTGAAACACATTAATTTTGGAGTAATTCATCCATTTTCCCCTGAAATTTCTTTTCAAAAATTACAAATTTCTCCTCCTCTCCCCTTTGTCTCTCTCTTCCTCCGCTAGAGACCGTCGTCTTCGATGAAAATTCCACCAAATATTGTCTATCCAACTTCAATTGGCCTCGTCATAGCCGCACATTCATTTTTGTTCGACTATGAGCACTATTCAAGTTTTCGGTATTGATCAAACCGATACTCAAATTTGCACAAGAGTAGCCACATTCAACACAAACAAGAGGTGGCAAAATTTTTCGGAAGGGTAAAAAATCATGTACAACTAAAAACACGGAGCCATAAGCTCAAACCTTCCACAAAAAGTAGTGTATAACACAAATTTAGCTCAAAGCCCAAATATATGAACAAAACAAGAATTACGAATGTCACACAAAAGGTGGGCCTCACCCCACCACAAATAAAAGCATTTGTCCTCAAATTGAAACAAGATTATCCAAAAGTCCACATGAAAGTAAGATCGAGAGGGAGGTAAATAGGGATCATGTCTACTTAGTCGCTCTGTCTGTCTGGGCATCAGTGCACGGGGTTACCTCATAAAGAATAGACCCACCAGGAGCTGCCACAGGTGTATCTGCCAAAAAGGTCTGCACAACTGCATAGAATCCCCGATCTCATGAAGGAATAGAGAGGCCTCTGGGGGTGGTCTTACTGTAAGGATTGAGCTTCTTGCCCTTACCTTTGTCTCCAGGTAGAGGTTTTTATATGTCCTTCTTGGGAGGATTTGACCTTCCTTCATTTATTTTGAAATTCCATGCTCTTATCTGTCGGAGTGGCATTTTTCTTCCAGCAACTTTTGTCCTAGCCATGTCTGCAAAATATTGAGAAGAAGTTAGAAAATATTCAAACAAAAACACAAAATATCAGTTGGAGACAGACCTGCAAACCGATCGGCGAGTCACCCAATCGCGTTGGCGAGCAAGGGTCAGATCGCCGAAAGTTATAGTGCACAAAGGGTTCAGGGGTGCATACAAAAGGCGATCGAGAAGTTCATCGTTGAGTCATCGAGCTCCTTCGGTGACCTCAGGCTTCAAGCCGAAAGTTACAAGACCCAACAACTCATAAAGCATGAAATTAAAGGCGAGATGGGGATATTAGGCGAACCGCCGAGTGGTTCGGTGAGCTTGACCCAACTCACCAAACGACCCAACGTGCCTATTTTCAACCCAACTTCTCGAATTCAACCCCGCAACTGCCGAAAACAAAATCAAACCATGCACAACTCACATTCAAACAAGACCCATAACATACAAGCATAACCTCACAATGTTTAATCTATTTCACTGCACCAAATTATGAGATTTCAACATTCAAAACAATACGAGCAAGATTTTTAAATTGAAATAGACATTCAAACATTTTAATCCTATCAGAGAAGCCCAACACATGACAACACGATAAAATCATTTGCATAAGAGTTCAAAATGTAAAAAATAAACTCGGGGTTTGGGAGACCAAATTTTGATGCTAATTACGATAAGATTGAATCACTAGGCGATAATGTAATCCAAATTTTGAGCACAGATCAACGACTAAAACACTTGGATAAAGCAACAATATATAGAATAACGTGCAGGTGCGAGTTTGTGAAGCTTTAAAGAGAGGGAAAGTGAAGGAATTTGAAAAGTATAACCTTTTGGCCTTAACAATCATCCAGTTTTCGCCCATTCGGCGACATTAGTCATGCTAGCCGAACCACTCGGTGACACGTCGAGTGGTCACTTATCTCACTGAGTTTTACAGGACCTCCAGTTATGGTGGGGGTCCAAACGGCGGAATAGATTGGGATCACCGACCTGGTTGGCGATTCGACAATAATTTCCTGGGCTTACCGAGTTTTACAGACTCTTATTTGAATTTGTCTTGAGTCCAACAGTGGTCTACATCGGGGATGCGCAGACTAGCCTTTTTCTCACCAATTTCCCTCTTTCTGAACACTTTCCACATGTTAACCTGCACAACCAACACACCATTATTCCAAACAAAGAAATAAAATAAATAAGAAGACTTGCGTTGCCTCCCAAGCACCGCCTTAGTTAATGTCGCGGCATGACGTAAGTCCACCTTCAAATCTGATTTTTAGGGTTAGCCATAATATCACTAGGCAAACCTCCCCTGCTGTCTCGGGCTGAGATGAGATGATATATGACCCATTTGGGTCTTCAACTGCTTGATCGACATTGAATGAGAGGTGACGGTCTGGCTAAGGGTAGACACATCTTCTTTCATTTCTTTTAAAATCTTGTCTGATCCTTCAACTTTGTTGAGGATATGAGAGAGCATATTCTCAGACCTACCACTTTCCGAATCCTTTGGCTTTTGGTGCTCGTAGGGAGACACATACCTATCCTTCTCCCCATCCTCCCAATTTGGATTACGGTCCCTCCATTCACGATCTCGATCCTTCCAACCTTTATCCCTACTCCAACCTTGGTTACCACCCTGCCTCGCGTAGTTTGAACGATAACCACCACCTTGGTTGGCTAGGAAATTTACCTCTTCATTATACAATGCCTCAAACTTTGACTCATCCGGATTAGCACACGACACCCACGACATTGACACTTCGAACACCAGCTCCCATGATATTTTTAGATAAAATGTTAAGTTGTGTCATTATTTTGTCCATGTTCTGGTCCCTCTCTTGGTCCTTCTCCATCTGTTCCTTAGTCAACTTGAACGTGAGAGGGGAGACCTGGTCTTCACGGGTATACCACGGCCTATTTATGGTGGTAATGACATCCAAGGGCTGAGCCGCTATTACATAAAGTTGCTGCATCAAACCTCCCGGAGAAAGTTGGTCATCAACACCCTTATTTACCGAGTCAAGACTTCGGTAAAAAATATTGCAGCAACACGTTATCAGGTAAGCCATGGGTTGGGCATTGAAGCACCAACTTTTTGAATCGCTACCAAGTTTCATGAATTGGCTCACCTACAAGACGCTTGAAGCTCTGAATGTTGTCCCGAAGAGTTATCATCTTCGAGGGAGGGAAAAACCGCACTTGAAATATGGTAACCAACTTCTCCCACAAAGTGATTGAATCACGTGGTAATTGAGCCAGCCACTTGCACGCTTCTCCCATCAAAGAGAACGGGAACAACCTCAACCAGACCAACTCTTGGGATATGTTTCGGAAGGAGAACGATCCATGTACATCTATGAAATTTCTAATATGCTCATGAGGATCCTCCTAAGCCAAACCACTAAAAAGTCCCTTTAGTTGCAAGAGTTGCAACATAGTACTCGTGATGTGAAACACCGCATTTCCTTCGGCCGGAGGCAAGCGAATGACACCAATACCGCCATGAGATGGGAGTCATTAGCATGAGGCTTGTTGATATCATTGTGGTTTCCGATGTCATCTTGATGGCCTACTTGGCTTCCATTCACGCTTATACTTCATGTTTTCAACACAAACAAGCAAAACAAAACTAAAAATTAAGTAAGTAGAACTATGACTAACAAGAACAAAATTTAACTTAACTAAAATTCTCAACTAACACCACTCCTCGGCAGCGGCGCCATTTTGATTTCACTTATTAGGACACTACTTCCAGTTCAAGTGCCAACGATCGTGAGTAGTAATATAACCCAACTAGTGAGTTAGGGTCGAGTCCCAATGGAGCGGTTCGTAATTGAGAATCAATAGACAAGTGTAAATGTGTTCAAGTTAATTATAGCTATAAACATTTACGAAGAA